CCCCCCCATCAAATTTGAGAGCTAGGCACGAATCGACAGGTGAACTTCCGGTAAGCTGCGTAAAAGAGCGAAAATAGATAAATAAAACTGTCAATCAGTTTACAGGTTAGGTCCACTGTTCTACTACGATCTCTCTGGCAAGAACATAAGGGGGCCCCTTAGCCTTGACTATACCGTTGGGAACCAAAATACTGAAAAGGCTCGGCCATCTCCGTGCTGTCGAGGATCATAACCGACTACGACCCTCCATTACGGACGACTTGCCTAAACAAGGTTGTAGACACAACCAACTGCATAACAAGGCTGACAAAGGATTCAGCTTGCCGAGATTCCCAAAGGTCCATCACCCCGCTCCTTGGGAGCATTTAAACCCGCATTTGAGAAGCGTCGAGGCTCTCTTTCAACGCATAGTAGAACCACTAGAATTGGAAATATCAGCATTATACAGCACTATGTCGCCCGAGAAGCCAATGCTCCAGGAGCTGGTAGCCATCATTGGTGTGCCAACTCTTTTGGATGAGATTGCCGATTGCCAGTTCACAACATGCCTAGCGACGAATACTAAAGGCTTCCGTTGCGGGAGAATTAAGAAACCAGACGACCAGGAACAAAGCATGCGCTTGTGGAACGAATTCAGCTTGATGAAGGAGTTCGTTCTAACCGAGGGGTTGCAGGAGAAAATCCAGTCGTTCATTCGTTCTTCGAATTGTCCTTATCACAATTCCAACGATTCCATTGCAATGAAGGGATTCAAGACCTGGATAAAGTCTCGCGGCGATGATAAGCCGGTCCTAGCCAACTCCGTTTCGTCAGAAGAATGCAGCAGCCCAGGCCTGACCTCAGCGTCGCTCAGCCACGATGCAACGACAATGACGATTGAATCCGACATCAGCGAAACAACGATCGAGTTCGACGTCAAAGAACCAGTCCAAATCAGGAACACTGTGGATGATAAAGCAACAACATGCACGGAGGTAGAGGCAGTAACGGAGGTGCTTTCAGCGATGGCCGTTACCGATAAAGAGGTCAAAGCCACCGCAGTCGTCACCACCATCACCGACAAGGCGATCAAAGCCGCCGCAGTCGTCACTACCATCACAACGAGGGACAACGGTGCTCCCGAGACACAAACAATTACGGCCGAAGTTATTCCAACCCATATCAACGGCTTTGGCACGGTATCGCAACTCCAGAGAAAGGGCACATTACGAAGTCCCGCACCGTTCCTTGAAGAGATTTATCGCTATCTACAGCCATCCGAGCAAGAAGAAGGCATCGTCTACGTTCTTAAACACATATCTGAAAGGAACCTTTTCAAGATTGGATACACGAGGTATAACTCAGAGAAACGTCGCAAGATGGGGAAGAAGTGCAATGCGGACAACTCGGAGACCATCTACGAGAGTCCCCAAGGCCACTTCTTTGCTGCCAAAAAAGCTGAGAAACTTGCCCAGGTCTTCCTTCGTGAACACCATCTCAAAGTCGAGAAATGCGAGACATGCGGTGGTGGTCACAAGGAATGGTTCTGCGCCTCGGAGAGGGATGTCCTCCAAGCTGTTGAGACAATGGAGGCTTTTGTCAGACTGCCTGGCTATTCCGAGTGCCCAGAGACCAAGAAGTGGAAGATATCAATCGAGGGGTACGAGAAGATGAAGGTTTTATGCGACCCCTCACCACGAAAACTCAGAGCACTTCTCCACGAAGACCAGGGAAGGACAGCAAGCAAGGATTCAAGTGTTCCAACCGAAAAGATCTCATCGGAGAATGAGAGGAGCGTTAAGGGCGCTATCGGTCCGGAAACTCGCACAAGCAAACAATCTTTCATTGAGGATAGGAATCCGAAGGAGCCTACCGTCGTCGTTGAATCTGTGGAGGTGGATGACACCAATCCGGAGCCGTCCACATCGGCGGGGGTCAAACTTGGCAGGCGTTTGAGGGCGGTGGCCAACGGTGTCGACAAGGGTGTCGGCAAGGCTAAAAAGGGCTTTCGCGAGATCTTGACCAAGTCACGAGAGGTGACTCCTGAACATGATTCGCTACGCCCAATGTCCTCGGCAGGCCAAATGAATGGCATGACGATGGAAGAAACCCTCCGGAACGCATTCCGGGGGTTTGATGCAGATCATTGGAGTCATTTGGGGAGGCGAGTGAAGGATGAGTTTGACAGTTTTGTTGCGGACGTTAATGAGGGGTTTCACCAGGGTGAAGAGGGAGTGGGAACGGCCAAAGCTTAAGACAAAGTGCTGTTTGAAGATGAGATGGGAGTATACGAGGCGGTCTTGTTGTTTTTGAGATACCCAGTTCTAGCTGGGGGCAGCTGTATTTGTACTTTTGCACAATTCTTATCTTTTTATACTTCGTTACTCCTATTCAGCCTCTCCTCTGAGGGGTTCCTATTTAGCAATGACAAGAGAGATTTGCCTCTAACCAGCACAACGACCCTGTTGTCGCAGAAGCAAATATAGTCTCTCGTGATTGCAACGTCTTGGGCAACAGAGCCCGAGGCTCATTTACGGCATGTTTTGGTGGACGTAGTGAGTATAGCATCATTACTCTCTGCAACCAAATCAAACTTGATAGACGATGGGTACACTAAGTACAGTAAGCTGCCCAGACGAACGAGGGTAGATAAATAATACTGTCCTATGGAATGGAATATATTATATCACCAACCTCAACAACTGTGTCAAAACTTCGTCTCACCGGTAGATTTCAAGGTGTTCGTTGTCCCCTCAAACCATTGAAATCCTGAAGGATAGCGTCACGATCAGTGCTCCACTGCGGCTCCTCTGATACCAGCCAGTCCCCCTCCGTCAACTTGGCCATAATCATCATCTTCCGAGGTTCCACATGAGTGGCCGCCCAAGCTGAACGATACAAACCCTGGGCGGGATAAGAAAACAAACCGAGGGTGGCAGAAGTCGTCTTTGTAACAAAGCTTGCTACCCCCTTTCCTAGGCCTTTGGTGGCACCAGCCGCACCTTCAACCTTCTTTCCATGGTAAGTGTGGACGAAAATATCACTAACACCACCAGCCATCCCTTCACAGAAAGTTTTCCCAGCCACTACTAGACCCGACTGAAAATTGTCCACCGGGTCATGTTTCCTCACAGGGGTGCCATAAAGCCGAGGTACGGCGCGAAGACCTTCGGTAAGAGCGAGTGGAATGTCGATCAATATCCCCTTTGTCGCATTGCCAGCGAGTTTGCCGAAATCACTCAGAACAGCCGATGCCGCTTGGCGTTGAGAGCCCAGTGGAAGGTTGGTATTCGGAACTCTCGCGATCGCCTCTGCCAGTTGTTCTGATTCGGGAAATTCTGGTAGGGGTAACATCGCAAAGGATGGCGCTATGCTGTGCCTCTTTGGGGCTAACTCTTCTGTAACTTCTTCTGTTTTGCTCTTATGGATTTTGAATGGCCTGATTACAATATCAGCAGTGTCACCGACAATCCTGAATATTGTAGACAAGGATGCCGCCGAGAGTGCTGTGATCGGATCCCATCGTAGGCTGTCTATTGTGATAGGGGCGGTCCGATACCTATTGGTAAATCATTAGCACGGAAGTGGTAAATTGGAAGACCAACAAGAGCAGAGGCTTACAGATCCAGATGTTTGACCGGCAGGCATTGTTCTTTGGCTAGTACTGCCGCTGCTTGCTTACACATCTTGACTTCTCTTTTGCCCTTCCTATAACATAGTGATGCTGTTAATTTTGGACGAAAATCACATCTCATCTTGGCCAATGGTAGGTTTGTATGAAATGCTTGTACTGCAGCGGTCACCCCATCTTCGTGAATAATAGAGTCGGCAATGCGTCGAGCAGCTTCCACCGCCCCCGATGTAAGACAATACTCCAGTGCCTGCTTTAGGTTTTGTGACGTTAAGAATCGGTATGGAATGGGCTCTGGCCCAGCTCCAGCCTTTGCGACCACGTTGCCCCAGAACGGTTGACTAGGAATAAGTTAGTGTTGCTGTAAATAAGTCTCCTGCAACGGCTTAATCATACTCTCCGAAAAATGGAATGATTGTGGTAGGCTTTCCATATCGCAACCCACATGCCGTTGTTCCTGCACCTCCATGGTGAACAACAGCTGCCACTCGTGGAAATAGCCACTCATGAGGGCAATCGCCAATGAAGAATACATCGGGAGCATTCTCGCCCCCTAGATTACTCCACCCTTGCGAAATGACAACTCTCGTCCCGACAGCTCTTGCTGCGTTGAGTACTGTGGTCAAAAGGCCCTCGCTCCCGCTCGCCACGATGCTGCCGAACCCAACATATATCGGCGGAGGCCCATTGTTCAAGAATGTCTCCAACTCCAAAGGAGGGGAGTAGGTAGTTTCATCTCTAAAGAAGAAACCGCCAACGTCTGTTACTGGTATGAGCATAAGCTTTCACCATGTTTAGCAAGGAGCCATACTTATATGAGAGCCCCAATCGCTAGGCTTCGGAACTAGTGAAGGTGACCAGCAATATGTAAACGGGATCTCAAGTGCTTCTGCAAGCCGGTGACCTTCCATGCCAGGGACAGGCTCTAGCCCCAGCGAAGAAACTCTCCAATCATTTACCAAATCCCCAAGCCTGTCAATCTCAGTTAGTTCCATGTAAGATTTCCTGTCTGATTCGTCTAGGGATTTTACCCTTGCCATGTAAGTAGCTCAATGGCAGCATATGATGCGTAGTTTGCCTTTCTCGAATCTAGATCGGCTGCAGTAATGTTCGCAAGCGGATGGGCAAATTCCTTCGTGCTTGTCCATGGCATCGTAAACATGAGATGTAGCGGTATTCCAAGCGCTTGTGCACAATGGACATGGGCAAAACTGGGAGGATTCGCAATAATAGCGTCGGCGACAAACGGAATATTGCTCTGACTGTCGGCGTCGATACACGATTTCCAGAACCCGCTCAGCATTTCCTTATACATGGCTCTCTTCCTTTGAACAATTCCGGCTCGCAATTGTTTCAAAGTGGGTATCATCGATGGCGTTTCGACCATGAATGCCATCAAATCAGCCGGGTCTCCACCAATATCAAAGAACTCGAGAGAAGAGGACCTAACGAATTCCTGAAACTGGGCATGTGTCGCGATCCTCACGCGATGACCAAATAGTTGGAGCGCCCTACCCAGTGCCACAAATGGCTGAACATCGCCCCGTGACCCGACAACCTGTATAACAATGTTGAGAGGAAGTATGCTCTCTCGCACGCTATATGATGGAGGTTCGCTCAAACTTGTCTGTCCAGATAATATGTATGTATTATCAGGCGGAGCCGTATGAAAATTGTCAGGCTGAGGTTGCTGTAGATCACAAGAAGACTGCGCTTGATTTGAAACCTCCTCCTGGCCTTCGTAGTTGGTGCCTTTTAAATCTCCTGTCGGCGCCATTGTATATTCCGGAAAGGTTACAGGACACAAATAAGTAACAAACAGTGAACACTAGGGGCACCTCCGTAATAAATGCGGCGGAGAACGCCTCGACTTTATATCTACTCCTCTACCTTTACCGCCGGTGGGTCTAGCCCCTGGCCGTATTTGGCCGTGTGGTACCGACGTAATCTATTACTCGGCTAATGAATCAAGCGAAATGGCTAGCACCATATTGAATGCCTCCTACACCTAAGCCTTTTATTTGCCAAGATTGGCTTCTCCCCTCCTCCTTAGTCAAGTAATGTCCCTATCCCTATCGTGTCAAAAGACGAGATATTGTAGACTTTTGCTAACTGTTTGATCCACAAAGCCTCGTTACGGGAAGCCTCCAGAAGTAGGATGAAAATCGGTACGCCAGGGTTACTACGTTCAAAAGCTTAACCCGGGAATACATCCTCAATATTCCGAGTCCTTTAACCGTTTAACTCTCCAGATCCCCCTCTCTCCATCAACTCCACGCCATCCTTTGCCTTGCCTCGACGTTGGGCACAACACCAAGCACACCCATGGAAGCAACTCAGGAGCCAGAAACACATGCTAATGAGCGACAATGCGGTTATAGCAGTGAAAAGGGTCACTCTCCTGCCTTCCAGGCGCTCATCTTCGAGCGTTTTATCTCTGGTGTCATCCTTGAAAACAACCATTCCAGTTACCCCCGCGAGTGCGGCCCACAAGATGCCAATGCAGAAGTCGAGCAGGAACCAAGCACCATGTTTCACTGTGGCTATGCAGTGCGTAATATCGGTGAGGATCGAGATGACGGTGACAACGACGCCATAAATATGGTCTGTCTTGCTCCTACTTGTTGAGAAATCGGAGGCAACCAAGCCTAGAACAACCACGCCCAGGATAAATTGAGTCATTCGAATTCCCACTCGGATGGGGAGGCCAAAGGGGCCCGCGAGGGACCAGTATTCTCTACCCATTGTCGTAGGCGGTAAAGGCTACGGCGGCTTCGTGTATGTTGGATCAAACGATAATTAGTAAGTCTGTGAGTCTGATTGAAAATATGAAATTGAAAGGACAACGTGGGAGGGTTCTGCAAAACATGGTGGGCTTCGTCTTTTCTGTCATATCAACGAGCCCATCCACTCACTCATGCAGATCCACCCTGGTGGGACAGGGGAGCCGATGAAATTGAAACGGGGAACGATGGTGACCAATCAGAGAATTTACGGTTTCCTAAACGAATATTAGGTCCACTTAGTCTCATACGAGCTGATCCTTGCCTTGACGATGTCATCACTTGGATATTTTGACCATGAATCAGTCCGGCCGGTCGAGCTAGGAAGGAGGGCGTAATTGATACACTGAGGTACGGTATTTGGGCCCAAATATCTAATCGGGGTACTTGGTAGGTACTTTTCGGTTGATCAAATGAGATCTACTTACCCACATGCAGAATTGAAAAACAGCCCTCCAATGCTTCTTGCACGATGTAGCTCATGTGTTTCTCAGCAGAACCGTTCGTCGTATTTGGAAATTCTTTAGGTTAACGCAATTGTTTGTAATGCAAGAAGAAAGCTTTTTTGCGTATGTAATATGTGAGATTCAGTTGCCTGGCGAGATTCATTTTGTTAACTCGCTGTGTTTAAATGGACGCTCGTTTAGGGTAGCACCACTAGTCTGCTCCATGGTGCTTGAAAGTCTCAATATCACGAGCAACTTTTAATTGAATAGCCGTAATAATTCTGCCATCCGATGGCTCGCCCTCTGAATCTCAATGGCAATTTGTGTTGCAGCTGTCTTCGTAGCTTCCTCAACTCACCGTTACTAGTCTTTCATCTTATAATGAACGATGACCGTGTCATTGTCAAATAGAAACAGTACAGCTTCAAGAATGAGGCACGACCAGGTAGTCGATCCTACTTTGAAAATTATCTAGGTGCAAATACCTCAGTCAAATGGTTTTGGGGAGATCCAAGTGAAAGTGAGCAACTCGTAGCCGCACAAGAGATGCCAGTTAGTTTGACACTCTCTGTGGTGCAAAGGTTCGAGCAATAAAGGGGTCCTGGGCTTCATAATTCATTTCAAATGTTACTTCAGTAGCGAAAGTGGCAATTTGATTGAATGAATCTGGGCAAATATATGGCGACTTCCCAAATCCGAGAAACCATTACGCAGACACTGGGACATGGATCTGGAGCCAATTATCCAAAACCGCAGTGGCAGGATATTCCTTGTCTCCGAGGCGGAGAAGCATTTGAATATGGCCCTCAAATGACTCGCCTTCAAATACATGAAGATTGACACTGGTACCTGCCGCATTCAATACCACTTTGAATTCCTCTGCCTGGCGAATGTCGCCTTGTCTCTCAGCATGAAGTAGAAGGAAGGCATTCGCGTTCGGCGCCCGGGCATTGTAAGTCGGGGACATAGCGCGTAGTACGTCTGGGTCGCTACCAAGTCCTGCTATCATGCTTTCAGCTACCGGGCCCGGGCTGTCCAGGACTTCCGCCATAGCGTTATAGTTGGAACCGTCCAAGGATATGACTGCTCGGATGTTATGGATTGCCACTCCAGCCCGGTCCAGATAACTTGTATCTGTGCCCAGCAACGTGACAGTATGTGCACCAGAGCTATGCCCCATCAGAATAATGCGTCTGTGGTCAAATTCCAGCCTGGCTGCATTCTTGGTCAAATATCCCAGGAAATTAGCCACCTCCTGCACCTGTTCTCCCACGGTCACAGTAGGGTGAAGCGTGTAGTTTATGGTAGCATACGCATAGCCCTTCTCCAGGAAGTGACCGACTTTGGTGGATCCGATAGAGTCCAGATATGAACCTACCCTCCAGCTGCCACCGTGGATAAAGACAATGATTGGTGCGTCGGGGGATTTACCCTTCCAGTAACGTAACTTCTGAGCATCACCTGGGCCGTAATTCAAATCCTCGCCTCCCGTTGGTTGATCGGCCTTCATGATACCCATCAGCGTTTGTACCCTATCCGCCGTCATCGTATCCGTAGTAGGACGAAAAATGTCGAGACCAGTAATTTCCCTCCCTCTGGCGGCTTTCTCGATTTGAGTTAGGCCACAAGATGAGCCGGACTCGGCCGCAATTCTATTTGACGCATCCATGCTGGATCTTTGATGGCCTGTCTGAGTCTGTCAATTTTAAAGAGGCGCAATAATGACTCAAGGAAGGAGGTTGACCTCAATATTTATGTAACCACGCCGCGTACGAGCACAGAGTGGATCTGTTGGGTGTAAGATGGGGCTGCGTCGATCAGGCTGCCAGAGTACGCAATACACATACGTTAGGTTTCAGCCTTGAAGTCCTAGGTCGCGCAACCTCTTGCTTTGCCGTTGTTTGATCTCCCCGAAGAAGATTTATACTCAGAACGTATGAGTTTGTAGCATATACTATAATTCATGCCGCTCTCTTGTAGTCTTCACCTCCGGAGTTCTACGGCGTTGCTTGCCGCGCTCTCCAGGATGACCTCCTTTTAGCTAGGGCCGTAGCCAGGTCATTTCGGCAACCTTTGATTTGCTACTGCAGACCCCAACACAGGTTCTACTAATGGGAGGAGTTGTGCCACGAGTGAGACTGGAGATGAATGCTGGCCATTGTTCGTTTTCATATGAGCAGGTTCAATAGCTGGGAGCAGGAAAAGGTTTGTATCCTCGTCAAACGGAGATGAAATATGTACGCCACGAAACAACCAAAACGCTCAAACCCCTATTTATCTCAGTTAGCAGAACCGTTAATTCTCTCGGATCAAGCTTTATTGCAGCCCACTCTTGAGCCCCCAACACATCCTACCTCCACCTTCGCGCTCAGATACGAGCAATCACCACTCCACTTCCGAGAAGGTGATCCACCCCCACCTACGACACATCAAAGGAGCAATATAAAAGCATGCTGGCATGGAAGCCTGAATTGTTTATGCCCGTCAAAATAATATCTTCCTTGAGATAAACCTCACAAGTACTGTTCACTTACAAGTGCGCCACCAGTAAGCCAACTCCAACATTAGTCCTGTCAGGATAAAAGCCAGCTAACCATTACCTGTAGTGTCTGATACGGAGATTGAGTCAATTACATCCGTTCTCCATGCCTATGGAAATGCTCTTCAAAGCCGTAACGTTGAGGAAGCCGTCGCGCTCTACACATCTGATGGCGTCATAATGCCGCCGCACTTCACGGCTAGTGCAGGTACAAGTGCACTCCGCGAGTCTTACACTAGAATCTTCTCGTCAATACAACTTGTTATTACTTTTAGCATCGACGAAGTTGTAGTCATGTCCCCCGAGTGGGCCTTTGCGAGGACGACGGCGGAGGGTACGAAGACGATGCTAGCAACACAGGAATCAGAACCACATGCAAACCAGGAACTTTTTATCATGAGAAAGGAGGAGGGGTCGTGGAAAATCGCCAGATATGCTTTCTCGACGATGAAGCCACTCGTACAAAATGGTATTCGCAGAAGTTGAAAGGGCCTAGCTTCAAGCTTTCGTGGAGAATCAGCCAGAGATGTCCAGTCTAGTATCAGGATTCAAAGAACAAATCGCATCCGTCTCTATTATCATGAAGTGGTGCTGTTCGAATTCAAAACACTGCAGTGCGTTGTAACAACTAATTTTCTTCCAGCCAGTCCTCTGTCATGATACCTGTCCCTCTAGACACGATAATCTATCATGTTCTGCTATGAAGACTGTTCAAGCTTACTATTTCCACGTTGATGAAATGGTGAGCCCCTTTTCTACGTATGGGGTTGTATAGAGCTCAAATTCATTACACATATCTAATCTACAACATTCAGACAAGGTTCTCACTATCCGAATACGAGATGCATAATAACAACTCAAGAATCTATACCTTATGACGGGTTGTATTGAGTTAGTTATCAGGTATGGCAGCGATATAAAGATCGTTCTTCTATATGTGTAGTACATTTTCAAGCTGTCATATTCATTGGGTTGAGTTATCGGGCCCTGGCAGCTCTCATTGCTGTTGAACTTGATTCTCTTTCTCTTCCGTATATGTGTAGTACTGCTAAGTGGGTTTGGAAGACCTTGTCCAGATTTCCCTAGAAGTTTAAGAGTAGGGGACTTTTAAGATGGGATATATAACACATCGCATTGTTGAGCGGCATAAGACCAACCACACAAAGACTTAATGCACAAAGAAATTTAATATCTGAACGCAAGTGACAAAAAATGTGTTCACTATTCGTCGAAGGACAGAGGATTGCACAAAGGAATTAGAATCTCTACTCCTACAGGACGTACTCCTAACGCTTAGTCTAATCTCTATCGAAATTTGCGACCATCATTACTTGTAGCAACCATTGAACAAGGGATAAGGTTTAGAAACGAACCCTAAAATACTACTTAAGGAGTGAACCAAACCTTTCGTCCTCAAATTCGGAACTGATAATCACTCGAGTTGAAATCCACCACCACCAGGAACAGATCATTCGCAGATAATAGGCGACCAAGCATAACTGAATATCACTATCCGAAATGAATCAAAACTGGTCTGCGTCGGTAATTTCTTTCTTTCTGTCGATGTTCATTTTGACTTTCATTATGCTTTGCGTTGGCCTCACGGTATTGGTGGTATGCGGGATCTTAGGGTTCATTGCCGTCTGGACTTGGGTGGTGCTTCTGGTCATTCTCACTGTCATGTTCCTGGGCTGGATACATGAATTGCTTTTCTTGCATGGTATTGGCACACCCGTTGAATACGTTGTCGAAGCTGTCTTCGGTTAACTTCGCCCACCTTTGTTGCAATTTCTCGCGTTGGGTTGTCCGTGCATGGAAGACGTGCTGAACACCACCATTCAACCTAAAAGAAAATAGACCTCAAACATCCAACCCTCTTCATTTAAACGAGCATCGTGATGACGCCGCGCGGCCATAAACAGTGTTACGCTTGTCATATTTTCTACTTTCATTCTCAGAATAACAAAATAGATTTTCTTGGATATCTAAATCTCATCTTCCTGAGGACTAAATACATAGCATGGATCCAATTGATGCTCCTTACGTCAGCCGAAAAATTGTTCCAAAGCCACATTTATCCTAGGCACCAACTGGACCAGAGCCAGTCATATAATCTACTCCTGATGCCTAGATTTGGAGCTGAATTCATCCAAGATCCACCATGTCCCCGTTTCGACTGTTCGAATGGATCAAGAACAGTCTCATACCCATATTCACCATTCATGTATCATCCTTCGTTTCAAGTAAAGTTCCTGGTAATTTTGGGCATAAATTCGAGACATGATGTTACTTGGCCGGTCGGAAGACTGTCGGAAGGTTGATAACAAGTCATGGTAGTATTCAGTGATGGTCTGCTTACCAATATCCACCTCCACACACTTTTGAGTTTTGATGATTTGCAGGTCTTTCTCAAAGTCCGGGAATTCTGCCAAGTAATCAGTAACCTCATCAAAGTCGGATCTCCGGTCGTGGAAGATCATTCCTAGATAGCGTAGGTTATTGAGCCGATGACCTTGTGCCATGGCATGAACCAACTCCTGGATCTGGTCGATGATTGGCTTCCCACCACATGAATGTATCATCAGATACTCCTTTCATTGTAGAAATAGCCATGCCCCTGTTCATCTAATCTTTCATGGTAGACGTCTTGAAGATTTCGGAGCGGAATAGTCATCTCTAGATATTCTTTCTTAATCCACTCAGATCCAAAGTAGTATGAGGAGTTCGACATAGTCCGTATGAATTGAATAAACGACTTAGGTGATATGACGTTCTAGGCATTTCATAGAGGAGCATTCAGATTTTCGGGTAGACTAGCAAAATCAAGGCCACTTGCGCCTCAGAACTACCAACCTGAAGGTCATACGTCCACTGATTAGACCATTCCAGAGTTGTAGGCACTGGCCCAGGATGTACTCAATGTGGTGTTGGAAGATGCCAAGCTCATAATCAGAGACTGGACACGGGTCATTTACCCAATTTTCGGCGTATTTGGTTTGTCCTTCAAGGGTTGAAAATCTGCCAAAAGTAACAGTGTCGACATGCTTAGCCAGCCAGGGCTTATGAATAAGAATGAGACGCAAGAACTTGATATTACGAGAGCGAGAACACGGGCCTTGATCCTTGGGGTATGCCGGTGTATTCCGGAAAACGCTCACAGACATTGGAAGTGCCACCTCATAGAGCTATCGGTAGATTTTTAGGACCGCTTAGATGCTGCCAGTTGGGCCAAATGGCGTGACAAGATAGGAAAATATCTTCGTTTGGATCTCAGTTGGTATGTTTAAGAGGGTGGCAGATTCCATTGCGGGCGTTGATGTGTTTTTTTGGCATCAGGCTGCATATTCGATGATCAGCTGAGCAGTCAAGGACCAAGGGGAGAGATCTGAAGAATGCGGGCGGGTGAATCAGGTTCCTGGCTCTCACTATTAAGCGCGCAAGCCCACTCCTGACATGTCATACTTTTCATAGTTAGCCACTTACTTGTGACCAGAAATACTTCTTGGTTGCCATCCTTTCAAGAGTGCTACTAAAATAGCCCCTTGCATACCTTCAAAGGTACCTAGTTGAAGGTACCTACGAGACGGGCCCTGTTACTAAATACAAATAGAGTGTATCGTTCTAGAGGATACATATTGCGGCTCGTCATTTCACATCGTGCAGCATATCGACGGCGCTCATCCCACTCTTAACATACGGATAAACCTGAGAATATGGCATAAAAGCTGCACGATCGCCAAAATCTAAAAAATAAATAAAAAAATATAAAAGGTTCATCCATCCATTCATGGTTAGAAAAGGGAAATCGTTCTCTCTGGAGTTTCGTCCCAAATTTCGTCGTCCCAGCATATATCATCAGGTGTATAATCCCAAATGTCCTCACGATCTAAACCATTCCTAATCTCCACAATTCTATGCATTCTAAAGAGACCGATAAGACCAACCCGTTGATATTGGCCATTCACTTTCTTCAACGCCAGGCAAATCATCGTACATGGAGACTCCTCGGAAGAGTAGCCGCTCGGGAACTTCAGTAGCGGCAAACACTCTATCTTGGGGAGAGCGTCTCGCTCTTCGAGACTGTCGAAGCTCACCAGACCAACGATTTGCGGCTCTTCAGTTCCATTTCCTGTGTCAAAGACGCCAGCAATAGAACCATTTCCACCAGTATACAAAGCCCTCAACTCAGATTCGAAACGATATTCTTTCGTGACAGGGCCAGTGACGGCTTCTCTCAATTTTCCAGTTATCTTGATACAGCCTCCTGGGCTAACTTTTCCAAATGGATTATCAACAATATTCTCCGGTTCTATGTTGATTGTCTGAATAACTACCATTTGCTCAAGCTGTCGAAGGTCCCAGGTCGGTTCACGCCCCCATCTCTCTGCTGTTGGAAAAGATACTGATCCAACGGGATTGGCTGTCTAAGACCAAGTTGGAGCAATGTAACTATCATCACTCGTCCTTTGTGAAGGCAGCGCTCGTTTCCTAAGCCAAATCAAGCCTGCGACGATGTCGTCCCGGTTGGTTTTGGGCCTGAGGGTCATTGACCTTTTGGAACCGTCCTTGTTGACCAGACATGATAATTGCGTATTTGAGTGTGCTTTACCTCGTGGGTAGATGAGTTATGAGACCGAAAATTCATTCCAGTCGTTCTTATACTTCACTCGAAAAGGAATGCTTGGCTTGTTTCGGAATGTTTGCCCCATACTTCGATTTCATGCGTCTTTTGGTTCGATCCGTTATCGGCAGGTCGTCACAATGCGGATAATTCAATACCGGCCCTAGAGTTTGGGTGTGCTGATCGCATGATTTTCTCATCTATGATAAAGCATAGGATACTTTTACGCTCCATCAGCGGGCTTTTCACAATTATCGTACTAGTCTCAACCACATTGAAGATCAAAGAGGGGCATCACACCAACTTGCGCCATGGAAATGGGCTAGCGGTGATTGAACGACGGATCATTAGTACGTCTACATTACGTATATCAAAAGGGCTACTGTCGGGAATACATGGAGATAAAAAGTCTGTTTTATTCTTCTAGCGGCTATCCTATACAACATTCTCGTATCGAATGAAGATAGGACCATATTACTACTACTTATACCTATACTTTGCTGAGATCCATGTCAAGGAAGCCGTACTCGATACCACTTCACATACCTCCGTTCCAGCAGCTACTATAGCTCATATGCATGAATTTGGGAAGATGGCAAAGTGTTATACAAATAACGATCGGACAAAACGCCCCGCATGTAGGCTGATGACAGGTGGCCGGGGGATCCTAAGTCCGTCTGGCCCGCATTGTGTAGCCCAGAGGATTTACGCCAATGGTACAGTCATGATGCAGTTTTACCATCACTGGCTAGTGCAGGGGAATGTGTGTCATTAGATCTATTTGGTATCCCTCCTACACTCGACTGTGACGTTCACGAGTGAGCACTTCAACTATAAACCTGTTCTAAAGCCTCAATACGGATGATCTTACTGCTACCACACCCTTCATTCTTCAATCAGCTCCTCTTTTCCTAGCAGCAATGGCTGAAAATACGAACCCCGGCAACTTTGCGAATCGGTAAGAATTACCAAGGACCGGAGAACAAATATTCATTAGCGTCCTAGCACGCTGACGGCTTTCCAAAGCCCCCATGAGGAGGTACAGGATGCCGCTTCCAAAGGAGGGCAGGCCAGCCATGGTGGCTTTGCCAGCATGGATGCCGATAAGCAGGTTGGCCATCACCTCATCTCAGCTTGTGTTCTCCTATCAATCATGTTCTTCCTACTGACATGAGCTAATAGCGCGAGATCTCATCTAAGGGGGGCTTTGAGTCCTCTGGCTCGTTTGAGCCTGGTAGCGAGAAAGCGCGCGGGGCTGGTCGCAAGGGAGGCTCCAAGTAACATCTTAAAGAGTATATAGAGGTAGGGGTCAAAGCTATACAACTGCCAGGTTATATTGACCTGTCATTTTATTATACGCCACGTCATTGATGTGATGCTGTTGTGTCTTCGAAAAGTCGACTAACAATAGACGGCTGGCTGGCAGCATGGTTCCTTATTATACGCGGAGTACATGTTTATGAGGTCACGAACTTTAGCAGACCCACGAATAAATGCTCTGTCGGTATCTACTACATGAGGCTGTCCCTCCTTGAACAGAGTCTACAAATGCGAATCAGCGGTAATTTATCTCCAAGGTTCCTGTCAATCAGTCAATCAACCCAAGGGAGGGAGGTTCAAGTGGACGGGAGATCGTCATGGAAGGATTCCTGGGAAGCAGCGCAGCCCATGGCGGGAACTAGGCACGAAGATGACCCTTAACCCCTCAGCATGTTTACTACTTTGGTACATATTACTTCAATAATAGGCGTCATTCAGTAGCTACCTCTAAACGGAATATGTACACTATCTTCTAGACGACGGAGCCATGAAGCCGCCGAACACAACAAGTGGTCAACTTCTGCCAATTTCCTTTATTATGAACCTAGGATATAATCACCCTGCGGCGTAAGGTTCATAATCAACCTTTAGAGGGACGGCCAGGGCTAAGGGCACGCTCATCTCTTTTCCAGATATTGGTATACTCGTTCAACATTACGTTTGTCTCAAAATCCTCCGCTAGGCTCTCCACAGTGGCAGATTCTGGCTCTGAAGGCGCCTGCTGCAGGTCCATCATGAAAGTCGCCCTGATGCCACCTGTAATCGGGTCCTCGTCCCCCTTGTCGATGTTATCAAGATCGCTAAGTATCTTCCGCGCAACATCACTTGACATATCGCCCCGACGCAGCATCATGGATAAAAGACCCTTGAAGATGGCCTTGGCTACGCGCCAAGTGGCGCTGAGACGGATATAGCTGTATAATACGAGAATTATGTACGGATCCTGCTGCTTCGCCTCTTCACCTGGCATGTCCAATATGGAGTTGGCAGCATACAACAGGGCGGTATGCCAGAGTATTGTGTACGAGGACGCAGCATGGTGCGTGCGGTAGTTGAGAATGAGACTTTTGAGACGAGCGGTAGAGCTCTCGGAGATGAGCTGCGGAGTGACGGTACTGTTGGCGAAGGTTCGAAGAGGACTGTGTCGAGATGTCGCGACGGAGGTAAACGGGCGGAAGATATCGAGAATGGCAGCATGGAACCATAGACTGTGGGCGCAGACATATTAGCCGTCATTTGTCTATGGGATCATGCGATCTCAGGAAGGGAAAAGTGGCGAAGAGGGGTTAAGGGTAAGCAGAGTCGAAAGCTTGGAAAGAAATACTCACTGCATAACCTTCACATGGTGCGGTGAGTCGGCATGTTCAGCTGCCTGTCGAAAAGACAAGCTTTGACTCCATGCGAGAAGCTCGCGGAATTTGAACTCGGCAAAGGCAAGATTGCTGCCAGACGCCCAGGGGTGCTGATTGCCCTTGTTGTACACAGCGCTGACTTCGTGGACGATGTTCCAAAAGCGACATAGATGTGGAAAGGTGTAGCCCATATAGTGCAGAGGTGAGCTTCGTCCCTCCAATCTAGCAACATTGGACGCCGTCGGAATCGGTACATGGGGGCAACTCAAGGAAATATGCATCCCTGGTTGGCGATAGAAGAGAGACATGAGACTAAAAGTTTCCAGGGCAATGGTGAGTTTATAGACGTATAAAAAATAGGTTTAAGCGGTTAGAGTGGGGGAATAGTCACTCACGCCGCAAAGTTGAAGACGCCCCAGGCAGCGTACATACGCTGGCGCAGTTCCTGGCTCTCTTTGTCTACCTCCATCTGCATCGGCACCGCAGGTCCGAGGGATCCTACGGAAAGGAGCCTGAGGCGAATACCAGCCTGGCAAGCCTCGTTCAGGTATTTCAAAACAGAATGATCTCTACCCTGGCCTAGGTATCCAAGACTCAGGAATTCGGATGCCGCCATGAAGAGTATTGAGTCGCGTCCGTTGCTCCGCTCGCTGTTCCAAAGCTTTTCTGCCACTGTACAAAACTCGATTGCCATAGTATCAGTTTTAGGTTCAATAGCACTGTACATTTGCTGTGATGACTGTGTGAGCCGCGCGCGCTGGACCGAGGGGGAGAGGAAGGTACATACGCAGGCCCAATAGAGCAATGCGTTAACTAAAAGGGGCGAGCAGAATCGTTGCTCTTCCTCCTGTTCCGAGATGAGATCATCAAGGAAAAGGTCTGGATCAAAGTGTCCCAGCAAGGGATGATCCGTTTCGAGGTACAGAGAAATGCATTTTGCTGCCAAGCTGTCATCAATATCGACGGTGGTCCATCTCGCGATGCGTAAGTCTTTCAAACGAGGATCGCAAAACCCAAGTGGAGGTGGTTGTGGTTCGAGGGTCCTTGAACGGCTCGTCTCAGGAGACACGGTAAAGCTGCTTCCTTGTGGGCCGGGTGTCGAATCGGACGTAGAACTTGGGGTCGGTTCGGCGGCTGAGGTTGGCTGTGCTGACAAGTGTTGCCTTTTTGCTATCGTTTAGCTTGTAGTTGCTAGTCGGCATCAAGAGAAAGCAAGGAGAAAAGGGAGATTCGGTGGACTAGGACCAGGATTTAGCTTTACTTACTGTGGCACGGCAACAGGTGAGTGTGGCAAGGCTTGAATAAACCCCTGGTACGGGCCAGTATCAATCAACTCAGGATCCATTTTCGCCACATTAGGATATGCCAGCGGGTGATCCAGCTTCAGCTCCGCGGAACCTGGCGAGCCCTGACGACCGGGGCCGGTGGCTGCCGTGTCTTGCTCCCCTGCGCCGCCTGGGATGGCCTTTACACGGTCTCTCAAGGTAGTAATGATGGTAACAGCATCCGCTTTGCCAAGATCATCAAGAAGTCTCACCATTTCCATGCTAGGGATACTATTGAGGAGCTTCACTACTTCTAGAAGAAGCGTTCTACATTCTGACGACAGAGCGTCATTCCGGTACTCGCAATGAGAAAAATTCTTGGTGCTGCAGTGGGTACAGACAGGGCGGCGACCGTCACACTATGACGGTGATTGTCAGAGTACTGGAAGTGATTTGAGCCTGCCTCGCGGGCGAGGGAAAGTCAAACCCCAGCCGAGACTGACCAGATCACGCCCTGCTATGTTAAGAGAGATAGAGGCTGACATACTCGTATTTTCTTTCGCCGGCACTCGTTACAGGCGATAGACACACCAATCCTTCGTCTCTTTTGCTCGGGGGACTCACCATAAGCCCCATCGACTGATGGGTTAGCTGATCCAGCGGTCGGAGCGTCTCCTCCGGGAGAGCCCCGAGGCCGCAACGGTGCATACGAGCGTTCCATCCGCTCCAGGTAGATATGCGATGCACGACTGTCGATGAATCAGCTCGCGGTCGTTCCACTCGAGGTAGGTCTTTGGCAGCTGGGCTGGGAAGCAGGGAGACTGGTCGGTGAGAATGACGTTCACTTTAAACAAAGGGTGGGAGCATGACGCAAGGTTTGCCCAATGTTGGAAGCCCGGAGCCGACTCCGCTGCGGGGATGCTTATGTAGTGAGGGACCGCCAACGGGAGTTCTCCATAGCTCCATCTAGCTTTCTTCTAGCCGCCAGTGCAAATATCCAGCAGCAGCCCTATTGGTCAGTCGATTTCGGAGCCTTATCCGACAATGGGATTCTCGATGATGAATTCATTATTTTAGGGGCTAGCCAATAAGGGAGGAGTACACGCTATTGCATCACAGTGATACCCACGTTGTCCGGCCCCGACCACGGGTGATATGCTCGGGCAAAATTGCTTGTTACCTTCGCGACTCCTTCATTACATCTCACGGCAAGGTCTATACACCCAAGTGCCATTGAAAGCGTTATATCGGATGGCATCTTCCGGGCCCGACGATACACTAGGTTGGTGCGAGCGTTTCCATCAAGAATTTAGAGAAGCAAGTCAAGGAGAGCATCACGCTCACACTTCAACGCCAGAAAAGAATTACTTACTCACCTCTGACCGAGAGCACAGCCTTGATGCCTCCGTACTCGCAGTCGGCGGAAGAAAGCTCTATGTTGTCGGTGCATTTCACTGCATCTTCCAGCAGGCGAATTTTGCCACAAGATCCACGTGAATGGGATACTGAAGAGAAGGGGCAAACCGAGCGAATCAATTAAAAAGGAAAAGGAACAGCATCGGTGGATACTGAAAGGGGTATCAGCAAAACAACACCATTCTGCATTGCTCAAGGGAGAGCTGTTACGGCGAGGCTTGAAGCGGATGACAGTTGTTGGAATTGAGGCATTCTGTAATCCATGAGGATTAGTCAGAAAGGAGGGCTATCTACCATAAATACAGATTGTATTCTAAAATAGAATAGAAGGGTATTAGGCCTAATTTTGTAAGGAAAAAATAGTTTCTGCCTCGTGCTTATGCCATGCGTCAATGGCAGTGCCTAATCTCTGTAACCCAATAGTCACAAACTTCGCCATTTTAGAGCGAAAGAAAAGGGGGAAAGAAAAGAGTCAAAAGCGGAAACTTCAATCTTCAAATCATACTGTAAGGCGAACCGCCGTCTACAGCAGTAGAACCAAGCCAGGTGAAAGCATCTTTGGCGCGTAATTCGCGCGCGAGACACGGCTTAGCAAGGAAAGATTCTGCTGCGGACACAAATCGGGAGGATAACCGACCTAGAGATTTGAGAGACGCGTCATCACTACCAATAGCTAGGGTTGGAGCCGCCAGGATCAGCGTGCCTTGAGCTGCCCCGTAGCAGATATCGCGGGTTCGTAAATAGCCAAGGAAGTGGGTGGGATCGGCCGCTTCCGGTGTAAGAAATTTCAGGATGCAGAAATTGTAAAACATGCTGTCCATCAACGTTAGAACTAAGTAGACCAGGGGTTGTGTAACATGAAAAAGTGTGATCTTACACAGTAAAACGTTTGAACTGCCTTTCGAACTGCAAGGCCTCGGCGGATTCGCCAGGCTCAATATTATCGATGTCGGCATCGTACCCTGATTGAATTTCAAATAGGTTGATATACCAATCAAGGCACTTCAAATACAGCTCAAGCTTAGCAGCAGGCAGCTGCTCGGGGTCCTGCAGCATTTCTAGTGTTTGTAACCATCCGGTCAGTTGGAATATTCCGGCCGCCATGCGTTGTGGATAATTATTGATAGATGACCGCGAAATAGAATCAGCTACACACTCCTGGTTAAACATCAACTATACTGAAACGAATATATTATGTCTAAAAAATGTAGCGGCAAAGCACTTGGGATATAGGGGCTCATACTATCCTCTAGTTCCGTGATACTGCTGCTGCTTTTGGAGGTATCAACAAACGAAATGTGGTGTTTATCCACGCACGCAGCAGTGACATTTGTTAATTGGAAGAGCCTATAAAGTAAACAATAAGTATGAATACACTCTATACTGAGCCGAGTAGACCCTGGGTGAATAGACAGGGGAGGGCTAAATTAATTAAGAAGCGCATACCTTCGAAGAGAAATTGCACCGCGGTAGGTGTCAGCACGGACCTGATTATAATCGCTACCTGGCTGTGGTGTAGGTTCGCTAAAGCAGAGGTCGGCAATTGCTGACGCATATTCGTCGGCGAGCTTGGCGGCCCTTGCCTCCTGGCCAAAACTTGCCTCATAGAGAGCAAGTACACCGATAGCCTGGATATTAGGGAGAGTATCTACTATGGGACCCTCGCTATGAAGGTGTGCGCTGGACTCTCGCACAAAGGTCTCACTGGCGCATAAGCTTAGATCTAGTTGAACGCTATCCCGCTTCTGTGATTCCTCAACCAGCCTCGCGGCTATCGCGAGGAGAGCATTCACTAATGCAGAAGAGCAGTATTGCCTCGCTCCAGACTCGAAATCTCTTAGCAGTAGCGCTTTGTTAACGAGGCATAGTGGAAGCGCATCCCATTCTAGGACAGCCGTGATTAAGCTTAGAGTATATGGTTTTGTCCAGCCAGAGCTGGTCCAGATATCCAGCTGGGAGCAGGAAGACTCAACTCCTGGCAAAGTGAAGGTCGGTTCCACAGCTTCCACACTGCTTAGCGGAGCGGGAAACGAGCAAGGGAGGCGCGAAGTGGAGGTGGCTGTGGAGCTGCAAGGTGTTTTACTGCTAGTCGATGCTACTACGCATGTATCGTCGCTGTCTATTCGTCGGGTGGCAGGCCGAGATAATAGGGTTGGATACGACGAGCCCTTGGATGAAGACGTCGAGTCGACATCCGAAATCTCAATAGCCGAATCTGGATCGACGGTAGACACTGTCGCTGGAGACGGATAAACAGCCTTGTCCGCTTCGTCAACAAAGTTAAGAAGCTTCACGATGGCGCCTCGCGTGTCTCTCCTGTCTAGCCCCCGTATAATGGTGTCTGCAAAATCGCGAATACCGGTTTGCTTGCTGCCTGTCTTGAGGGCGTTGAGGAGGGCGTCCAGAAGGGTGTCTGCCTCTTCCAGTCTCCCCTTGAGATCCTGGATCTCGGCTCGAAGTGATGCTTTGGATACCACGCCCACGTTTTCGTAGATACAATCCAGTTGCTTTTCTTTGCATCTGGCGCAGCGTAATCGACTGTCACACTGGATAGGCGTCAACACAACATTGGAAGGGCATCTGTTGCGAGGTTCTCACTTTGGTCCGACACGCACGACAGGCCCTGCAGGCCGTTCTTAGTGTTGAGCGACGGGGCATGTGTGATGAGATTGGTTGAAAGTATTAGGATATATCCAGTGCTGGGTTCTGCACGGCAGTTAAGGTGACGAAACCGGTGACGAGACCAGGTCTTGGGGACGATGGGCAAAAGTACCCTTTAATTATGAATACGCCATACGGTCAATTAGAGTATTGAAACGTTATGGCGATCCCAACCGTCGTCTACGTCAGGACAGGTGATAGCTTGAGTAAATACGGAGTATAGGAAATGTGATGAGAAACCCATCAATGTGCCCCCACATATTGTTCAGCCCCTGAAAAAATAAAATACATATCTGAGAATCTCATTGACGGACCTGGCTCCGAAATCAATTGGCCAATGAAACTGTTAATACATGAATTCTAGAAACAACGAGTAGATAGAGCTTGAGAGACCCCCACACATTGGCCCCACGACGGTCCCAGCTCCGGCTTCTGTCATTCGGCAGGCCTCGCGTCACCCTCTTGGTTTCCAGGTGAACGTCATTCTGACCGGTTGGTCCATGCCCCTTCCTCCTCTCTAACTGGTTGACCCACCCCGGGTGCAACCATCGTCATTTATCGACGCAACAATCGCATGTTGCACATTCCACCCGAAGCAAATGGAGCGCTCTTATGCACCATTACAGCTGTTGGAACCGAGCCTTCGTGTAATCCGATGCGATTAGTCATAATCGAGGGCGGTTTGCCCCAAATGCGCCTCCTTTCCCAGATTGGAAGAGCATTAGGCTCAAAGGAGAGGCGTACACCAAATTGCATAATTATTCCTACCGGAAGCGCCGGGACAGTATAACTTACATGAATACAACCACCTAATTTTTACCTATCCAATGTGTGAAATCCAACAACAGCCTTCGAAACCTGTTGGACTGAGGCATTATGGAGTTTAGACCTAATAATTAAAGAGTTAAGATATTTATTTATCTAGTTTTAAAGGCTTATGATAATAAATAATAAGAGATGTATTATTCTAATTAAGCTATATAGTTATATAACTTAGATTATATAATTTATTTTTATATAAATAGTTTATATTTAAACCTCATATAAAAATATAATTTGCACTACTATTGAATTGATATATTATTCTAATTAAGCTATATAGTTACATAACTTTGATTATATAATTCATTTTTATATATATAGTATATATTTAAACCTTTATATAAAAATATAATTTGCACTACTATTGAATTGATATATTATTCTAATTAAGCTATATAGTTACATAACTTTGATTATATAATTCATTTTTATATATATTGTATATATTTAAACCTTTATATAAAAATATAAATTGCACTACTATTGAATTCAATATCGACATCGCGAACGTTCATCCAAACTTAGAAATCTGACTCCCAAGCTCCTCGATATGAAAGGGACCATCAATGATGCTTTGGTGTTAACTGTCACGGAGCCTTTCAAGTCTCTGCTGTGTTTGCTTAGCGCTCGGCTCGCATGTTGGGATCAGCTGGGTGGCTGTATTATCCTCAAGGCCCTCTAGTAGGGGTCGCAGTTGCCGAATTTCTTGGGCCCAGTACCTAGTCTATTAACCTGTGCGTGGGTCGGCGGTACCTGAAGCCAGACCTTTCACCGGCTGGTGGTGCGATCGATAATACTGGTAGCCCACGGTCAGCCTGTATTACACGCGACATATTTTGGCGGATAAATGCTTACCGAAATTGTGAACTTTGAGCAGGTCTTGCCCTGCTCGTCTTCGCTCAGCCTAGCCCTCTAGTCTGGCTTGGATCTGTCGATCTCGACCAAGCTGTTTCCAAGATCTATCAGGACCGGTACCGAAGCCAGTTATCATGTTAGTGCATCTTCACGGTTGGTTCTGATAATAAACTAGCACCACACTCTCTCGTGCGGCTGATTGTGTAAAAAGTAGTTACAAGATCTGTGGCATTGGCACTGCATTTGGAAAAAGACTATACCTTGCGGAATGCGGCTAGGGTGAGGCCGGCATATAGGGAGAGAGCTGGAACAGTGGCTTTCATCCTGACAGTGTACTGTTGCTGGACTGTTACAGCTTCAAAACTGTAAACTTGAATGAGCAATCTATATTTCCTTTCTACTTGAAGATTTGACCTTGATGCGTCACAACCAACCGCTTCGTCTGGTCGTCTAGAATGTTCCCGGCCACAAATCCCTCTACTCCTTCCTTAAGCATCCGGTAGAGGTTGTCAATTGTTGTCTGAGAAAACCACGCGAGGTGGCTAGTGATTGTCAGATTTGGTGTAGTCTGACTCGGATCATCAGAGTCTGGAATCAGAGGAGTTGTGCCTCGGCCACCAGGCTCCGTCTCAAGAACGTCGGTGGCGGCTCCGAAGATGATCTCGTCGCGGAGAGCCTGTGCCAGCGCCCGCTCACAAACCACACCACCCCTGGATATGTTGATAAGGAGAGCCTCAGGCTTCATCATTGAAAACTCGGGCTCGGAAATTAGACCTGTTGTGGATGCGTCCTTTGGGCAGCAAACAACGATGGTTGTGGCGCGCTTGATCATGTCCTCGAACAACACTCTTCCCTCTCGTGCCGTGCTCGCACCTTTTCGCTCAGCGATAATCACCTCGCCAAAACCAACAGCCGTAGCCAGCCTTCTTATATTGCTCCCCAGGCCGCCGTACCCGATGATCCCTAGCGTCTCTTCTCGGCAGCTCAGGGGAGGACCTTGCTTCCACAGCGACATGAGACCCCGGTTCTTCACCCATTCCCGACCCGGTCCGGTGACAGCGCCATGGATTTCCACGATCTTCTTGCGGGATGAAAAGTAAAGTGCGAGGAAATGCTCCCCTACCGCCTCGACGTTGCTCTGTGGACAATTCACCACGGTGACGCCACGGCTAGCAAATGCCTCTCGGTCCAGCCATTCACACCCAGTTGCTGTAATAGAGACACACTCGAGGAGTGGCGCATGGCTGAGATCTTCCTTCGTTATCGGCACCACTGCGGTGATCACGATAGTCGCATCCTTGATGCGCTCCGCAACCTGATGAGGCAAGGTTTGGGCATGGGCCTTCTTGGTGTGAGGGAATCGCAACTCACGAGGGGGGAGGGAACCCGCCTCGAGGTAGACGACATGGTGTTTGGGAGCCTCCATAATTATCATGAAGTTCCAATGTTCTTCATCAAGTTCAGCATACTGGTTTTGCCAGGGTGCAGACTAAGGGAGAGGTCAGACATTATTTAGAAATTAAAGGCGGTTCCTTCTTGATGATAACCCACAACCGGTATGTGATAGGGAATCAGTCTCCGTAGCCACATGCGTCCTTTCTCGTGGTTTCGCCGATCTCGGTAGATTGAGAGATAAGAGGCAAGTTACCACGGCTTAGCTCCCCGTACCATTAACCTAGGCAATCCTATGCGAGCAGATCAATTTTCGGAGGCATGATTTGGGTAAAGCAAGCGACCAAGTGGATTCAGTGCTATTATCAGTCTAGTACCATGACCCCAGACTCCGCCAAAGGGGCCAGCCAAGACCGACTGTATCTTCAAATCTTTGATTACATTGACCGTATCTTCGTATCTTGATTAGACCGACCATATCTTCACCATATCTTGATTCTACAAACGGGTTCCATATTTTCCGCGGGCCCGTTTGGCAGCTTTGTCATCCCACCACAAAACTCACCTTCTACACATCGCAGCTCTTGGTCTTGCCTTACGGTGGGGTATCATTTGGGCGCTTCCCCGGTTAGCCGGCGAATTTGTACTGGCAGTTGAATTATATTTTCTTTACCATCCGTTCAGCTGAGCAACAAAGTTCAAGTCACCCTTGAATTTGAAGCATACACCCCTTTTCACCCCGTTGGGTCACTGTATATTTACCCTAGGCGACTACTTGCCCTGGAACACCAGCTGGGCCAAGCTTGCGTAGATGATTGACTCGTATATCGCGCATGATTCGGTCAGCGACAAGCCTATTTTACTAGGTGTTCCGCAGCAAGGCAGAACTCTCGAGGTTGTGAACGGTCGAATTGCTTTAGTCGTTAATAAACACAGGATCATACTCCTTAGCCTCCTCGGGCGCTATGGGAAACGCAGCGACGGCGGGACGGACTCCAGCTCCGATGAAGAGCGCATTCCATTGCGTCGCACGGCATATGGGGAGTGGATACTAGACAAGAAGGCGCAGCTAGCTCTCCACGGAGTGACAGGGACAATCAAAGGACTTTGGCGTCATAAAGGATCATGGAGCTACATGACGTCCATCTGGTTCGTGTCGCACGCAGCCAGGAAGATCTTCCCTCGGTCCACACAAACGAAGCGTGAGTCTTCATCGATGCAGAGGTTGTTTTAGCTTGTTCATGGCTTTCTCCTATATGGTCGCACGCCTGAGGGTAAGTAGATTGTGGTATCTATGGAAAGCCCTATGTCTGGTATGGATTCTAGGGACGTTGCTGTCCGTTCCGGCGAAGCTCCAGAGTCTTGGACGTCCTCCACTCTCTCCAATGCATTGCAATGCTGCTCCTGACTAGACTACTTTTCGGCTTCAGATGGGCAAACTTGAAGACAATTTGCAAATAGGACGATTTTCTGTTCACTTGACTTGCTGGTAAAATAGTTCACGGAAGTCCCATCTTAGAGCCGGGATGTCGCTTTGCTGTTTTCTTCTTTGCTGTTTTCTCCTCTGCCCGCCTCTCTTCACCCTTCAGCCTTCCCATCCCATTGTTTTTCCGTCTTGGGACTAGGCTCATTCCTAGCTGTAGACTTCAACTCCAATTCTCGCACTGATTCATACATAAACCCCTTATCAAAGAGACATACGCAACAGGGGCATAAGCGTTCTTCTAGCAACTTCCATTCCTCATCACAAGCCCTTGTGTGATGTGGATCTTCGCAATGAGCAATAGTATTTGCACACGGTTTCTTCATGTGACAATCTCGCAGTAGTGGCTTGTGCCAAAACGATCTTCGAGTACCGCCTGAGCATTGGTTGTGGATTTTGTCATAGCGTGAATCGACACAGCTCACGTTATTGTGCGTGGATTTTACAGCGGATGCGTCAGTGCCCGTGCTCTGGCCAAGGGGCTACTGGTACTCACTAGATTAGTTGTCTTGCAAGCCGAAAAGCCTCGAGCTTGGTATATTAAAGTGTTTAGATTGGCGTAAGACGAATATGAAGCTAGGTGAAAGAGGGTGGCTTAAATAGTCTTTTGACGAGCAGCTCGTACTGACGGCAAGTGAGTTATCGGCATGAAGGTTTATCGAATTTTCTTCAGCATGACTGCAGCCTTGGGCTAGCGAAGCTTTTTTAACCATCCGTAATCATTGTGTTGAGTTCTTCCATTACTGTTTAGCTTTATACTCAAACTCTCCCCCGTGCGTTGATTTAATAGTGATGAGGCGTGCGGTTCGACCGATTGAGATGCATTGACGAGTGTGCGGCTGCGGGCGTGTGGATGCCGAAGAGAAGACGTGATGAATCTGAATGTTGCACGTTTATAGGAAGTATACATTCATGGTGTTGATTTGTCGGGCCCCAGCAGCTTTCATTGCTGTTGAACTATATTCTCCTTCTCTTACGCACGAAGTATACTCAAGTGGAAAAGAAGTGGAGGGCTTCCATTTATTTTCCAGTGGTAGGCCGAGTGAAAATGAAAAGGCTAACTATATCAACACCATTAGGACAGATGGAATTGCATGTCAAAACTAAAGTTCATTGAGAACATTAAGCTCTAGAAACAACAAAGTTAATGGAAATCTTTAGAGTTCTTGGTTAGAGAAAGCCAGCAATCCCGTCTTGATGACTATAAGCGATTGCCACTTAACGAAACGCGGGAAATGTGCAAACATATTGTTGTCTTTCTTGAACAACCAGCGTCTGCATGGTCCTACCAGTTCCCATACAAATCTGGCAAGGGCAGAGTCGCTCCATCATTCCCATCGACGTCCAGTATGATTGACAGGCCTGGGTATGGCTACAATTTGAGCAATGAGCTCCTGGATTGACACAAGGCATCGATACCCATCGCTGGACATTTCTGTCCACAAAGCCTCGTCCATTGCACATAAGGCATCCGGCTGGTGGCGGAGGGCCGCCAGAACCGCCGCCAGATGTATGACGAAAACGGAAAGGATACATTGACGATAATTGGTGAAGGTGTTGCGGAAATCTTTTCTATATTCGTTATTTGATTGCTTATGACAGAAATATAGGAAGTTAGATACCTGTAAGTGATTTAGTCCTAGAATTGGAAGTGGTAGAAGAAGTATGTAAGGTTGAAAGGATTAACATAGCCTCGTTCTTGTAAAGACAGAATCTTTACTCATGTGATATGGTCTGAACAGTTGTCGATAGTGAGTCAGGATTCTGGTGCATCTGGTTCACAGACAATAACTCGACCTGCCATAGGAGAGGCTCTAGTACTACACTCGGCTTGCTACTGAAGCGGGCGATTGGGGCTGCACAACCACACCAAATGCCGTGTAGAAGTCCAGGCAACATAGATGCAATCCGGTTTGATTGAGCAATCCATCGCCCGTCTTGTTGACTCGTCACAGAATGAAGGAAAAAAACATATGATAAATGAAGCTGGTTTGAAATTGAAAGAGATGGAGTAATTCGTCATGTTAATCTGCTGTCAGCGATCTCGACTTCGTACGACGGCATCGCGGCAGGCATCGCAAGTGAATTTATCGTAACCAACATCACAACTACTAGTCAGAGTGAGGGGTAGGCAGGAAGAGGCACGGTTTACTTAGCAGATAGGCATCGCTAGGAATAGACGGGCTTGATTTTTCATAGAAGGTTGGGCGGCAGCAGCCTTTTTATCCCGACCCGACTAAGACGAAAAGTAGGGATCTGGGCGGACCATTTTCACCCACGTCACTACAGTCTACAAACCTCGTCACTGCTACACTCTCATTGAATCGCAATATGAATGTGCGGGCTCTTGGCTTGCGGTGATGCAGCCCAATCGAAAACTCAGGACTTCATGGGGTGGCCGAGCCCATCTACTTTACTCATCCGTGTCTACCCTTACTTTGATAACCAGCGCCGTCTTCATTTGCCGGTGCGGGCCGGCACTTCTCAGCTCAGGCGGGCGCGTGGTGGTTGAACAGTCCTCCATCAATCCAATCAATGGTGCTATGTACCTCAAACCTTGTGGATTCTATTAAAGAAAGTCTATTTTGACCAAACTTTCCTAGTCTTGCAATGCTATGTCATTGGAAGTACGCCCTAACGTAAAAGAAAGAGAGTAACATTCAACAGCAATGGAAGCTGCCAGGGCCCGACAACTCAACACAATGAATAAGGTAGTGCTCCTACCACTACTGTCCGAAAAATAACTCATTATGTATATTACCAATGTAATGCATCTGGCTGCAAACGAAATTCCAGGGCCTTAAAAATGGTCACAGTCCGTAAGACTGTCACCCCATCTATACAAAATCGACTGTCCAATTTGCTGTTACGATCTACTCTAGCCAACTTGGATGGCCAGCGCCCCTTATTGTTAAAACTACAGTCCCCGATGATCGGGTTTGGTGTAGACTCATCTATATCAAACTTAACGAAAGCACTAGACCGACCAATCACTCTTTCGTCTATTGATTGGTTATAAGCAGGATAGCCTTTGGTCATTGCCCTGGGAAACTTGCAGGAAGCTTGACGGTTCGCCGTAAATGTAATGGGGGCACATGAATCTGAACAAATTCCAATTATTCAACTTCATGTGCATAAGAGCCTGGGCTGCCAATATATACTAATCTACAGTGATCATGAAAGAAGATGGGATCAAGTAATTTCTGCCACATTATCCAAGCCACTTGGAGCCTACGCTTTGATTTCGATCCTACTCGTCTTGGCCACAAGCTCGCCCACGGATTCAATCGTCTTTCCACTCACAATCTCAAATACAGGCACATCGGCTAAAAACTCCTTGCCAAGCCAGCTCCTAAACTCGACAGCAATTAGTGAGTCGACGCCGTACGCATGGAGGGCCTGGTGCGTGTCGACGTCCTCGAGCTTGATTGTCAGTGTCCGCGCAAGTCGCTTGGAGAGGGCCTCGACAACCACCTGAGCACGTTCGGCCATCGTCTCGGCCTGGCGGAAGAGCTGCCCTGCGTCTACCGCATTTCCGTCGCTGCTACTGGCGGACCTGCCTGGGAGCTGACTGAAGCGGGCGAAAAGCGGCCTCTGCAAGACCTCGGGTGGCTCGATGGAGCGTGCGAGAAGACTGGCAGGGGTCTCGAGGCCCATTACCATCTGGCACTGCTGCTCGCCTGGCTGGTACGACGGGTCGCAGCAGATGTTGAGAAGTGACAGGAACTCGGCTTCCTCAATCTGGATGAAACCCTTCGATCCCTGGAAATGCTTCTGAAGCTTCTCACTCTCGGCAACGATGCCGATGCTGCGCATCACACCGAGGTCGATGGAGATGGATTTCTGGCCTTGCTGGCTTCTATATCGTGCCAGTGCATCCTGGAATGTGCATCCTGCTGCATAGTTGCTCTGGCCTGGATTTCCGACCACACCCGAGATGGATGAGAGGAGTATGAAGAAATCCAAGTTGGGAAGCAGTGCATGGAGATTCCAGGAAGATTCAACTTTAGAGCGCGAGGTCTCCTCCCATTGTGTCAGGGTCATGTTTTCGAATATGCAATCCTAAAGATAAGTGAGCAATCAGTTTCACAGCCGGGGCAAGATGACGAAGATGAACATTTGTTTTGTTACTTACATTCAGGACCATAGTCGCAACGAGGCACCCTTTGATTGGAGGTAAAGTCGCAGAAGACTCCTCAAGTATGCTGGCGAGGGACTCTTTCGAAGATACGTCACATTTCGGTGTTGATATAACGACTTTTTGATCAGAGAGCTCACGCACAAGCTCGGACGCTGCGGAAGATGCAGCACCAGATCTCGATGGGACGAGCAAGTGTTTCGCCCCTCGCGTGACCATCCACCGAAGTATCGAACGGCCAATACCGCCGAGACCACCAGCTACAAGATATGTGGCATTTTCATCAAAGGTCCAAGTTCTTCGCTTTATCAATTGTTTCTAATACGTTGTCAGCAGTCATTCTTCCAGTCTTAGATTTCATCTACGTCTCATCTCTTACCTCAACAACCGTTGACGAATCAACACGGATCACAATACGACCTGTATTCTTCCCGCTCGCAAGATAGCGGAAAGCATCTTCCACCTTATCCACATCGTATACGTGAAGAGGACTTGGTGCTCGGACACTTCCTTCACTGGCCAGATCCATTGCCTTTTGCAGAAGCCTCTTTGCAAGACGCTTCTTGTTTATATCCTTTACTATGTGGTGAAGGTCAACACCTGCATACAGGCAATTCTTCTTGAATCCCCCCATCGGTAGCGATGAGTTGGCATTGATATCAGCCTTGCCGATCTCGATCATTCTGCCATATGGGGCAATGCAGTCCCAAGAGGCACGCAGAGGCTCGCCTGCCAGGGAGTTTAGAACAACATCGACACCGTAGCCATTGGTGATTCTCTTGATGCCCTGGGCAAAACTGGTATCTCTGCTGTAGAAGATGTGGTCAGCGGGGATGCCATACTCGTCTATCAGCAGCTGCTTCTTGTGGTCGTATCCCACAGTCGCAAAGACCTCTGCCCCAGCCCACTGAGCGACCTGGACTGCCAGCTGACCTGTGCCGCCAGAAGCTGAATGGATCAAGACCTTCTCGCCTTGATCCAGGCGTGCAACTTCGATGAGACCCTGCAGTGAGGTCATGCCGGGGATAATAATGGCGCAAGCGTCTTCGAATGAGACATTATCTGCGATCTTGGCCGTCGTCCATTCATGCGACCTGGGGTAGGTCCTCATGCCGTCGACCGTCTGCATGCAAACACGGTCCCCGGCCTTGAATGATGTGACCTCGGCTCCCACTCTTGTTACAACACCTGCGCAGTCTGCACCAAAATCGTCTTCGTCCAGACGGCCGAGGGCAACAAACACGTCACGGAAGCCGACGCCCCAGACCTTGGCTTCAATCTCGACATCTGTTGGGCGAAGCTCATCGAAGTAAGCAAGGTCTTCTTTGAACTGCAGAGTCTCAAGTTGTCCGCGAGTTTGGATAGCCAGTCTCAGTGGCGGGCCTGGCAACCACGGCTCAGTGATACCTTCTGGTTCGATAGACAATGTCAGATCCTTGTTGGTGTTGATGTCATCAACGAGTCGTCCGGTCAAGACTTGGCCGTTCTTCACAATGTACTCATCGTCAGAAACCAGCCCACCAAACGCTGATGCAAAGATACTAGACACGTATTTGGCGCATGCGGAGACATCACGACTGTTGTCACCAACAGTGACAGAGACGATACGATTCAGAGCATACTCAGACCGTAGCGTACGGAGAAACCCGTCCTTGATCCCTGCGTAGACATAGGGCGAGGGAAGATCATTGGTCTTCGTATCGTACGCAGTAACCCAGAACAAACTTGTTGATTGTCGCACCCATTCTCGAACGAGGTTCAGAGTTTCCTGCTTCATAGGGTGCAGGAATGGCTTGTAGACGTCCGCGAGACAGATGACATAATCTCCCGACTCGAGGTTCTGGTCTGCCACCTCTTTGAGAGTGAGAACTCGGGAATTCCAGCTAGCGCCCTGCACGATACTCTTCGCAAGCGACTTTTGGAACTCATCGTCATCGACCACAACGAAGACTGTAGTACCCGTAAGTGGAAGGCCGGGCTGGGTCGCTTCCCTCGACACCACGAGGCTATCCTTGATCACCAAGTCGGCGCCTGAGAATCCATTCTCCTTCAACGCCGCATCCAATTGGGCGGGAGTTGTCGTCCAATCCCAGTCCTGCTCGTCTTCATGGCCACTCCACCAGTCTGCAGCGGCGCCGAAGCCGAAGCCAATCTCATACCGGCCAAGGGCAGTGATCTCGTGAAGGAACAGCTGACCACCAGGTGCAAGCACCTTTCGGAGGTTCTGAAGGACGGCTGAAACGTCCTTAGCTCCTCTGATGACCTCTGACGCGAAAATCACATCGTAGCTCGCAGGCTGCAGCCCTTGTGCGATCAGGTCCTTGTTAGCATCGATGCTCGTGAAATCCATCCGGTGCAGATGTTCAGCAAATCGCTTTTTGGCTTTTTCAAGCAGTTCTGTGGACGACTCTGAATATGTGTACTCGGAAAATGCTATTCCCCCCGTACGAGCTTCAATTCCCTGGAATACTGATAGGACATAATCTGTAAGGGCGCCCCTACGGGCGCCAAGCTCAAGGATCCTCTGAGTCGGCTTCTGGTGAGCTAACAGTTCAAGATGGGACTCGACATCATGGTTCAAGACTGTAGCTACCGCTTCATCAAGATAATCTTGGAACGAGGTCGATGAAATGGACAGTTCGACATCGTGGGCTTCTCCACGAACTATCGAGACAAAGTTCTTTGCGATGTCCGCGAACACCTTCCATGAGGGTTGTTTCGTGACCAGGTCTTCCAATTTGCTCGCGAGAACGCCCACTTCAGGGGTTTCCCCGTTTGTCTCTTGTTGAACTTGACGTTCTATCCAGGCGATATATTTCTTCATGTGGTTTGGAGCTTTCTCCCAGTCGATATCCCCTAGGTCCACAATACTCTTCTGTGCGACGGAGCTTAGAGTCTGTTCAAGCTCTGATCGGTCATGAGCCGCCGTGTCTTCCTTCCCTGATGGCTTTCCATTGGCTAAGGAACCATTAGTTGAAGCACCATTTGTTGAAGAACCATTTGTTGAAGAACCATTGTGCTGTTCACCATCGGCCTGTTCAAGAGCAGGCAACGACGTGTGAGGCTTCCAGTCAAGGCGATGTAACAACTTTCTCGCGCCAGTAGTACCAAGCTCACTTGCCATGAGCGGCGACATTTCCAGCCACTTGATATGGCAAAGGAGGCCACCAGTTTCTGATAGTATAGACACTTCGCAGTCCATACCAGCACCGATGGGCTTAAGCTTTGCCTCTGTCAAGACCTTGACCCGTTCCGTGGATAGATTGAGCCACCCAGTCTCCGCAATCCAGGCATCCTTGATCTGATGAGGGACGGAGGTCGGAATATTCAAGGACATTCCATCGGATGGTGGAATAGGGCAGATCTGTAAGCAGGAATCGAGAATGCCAGGATGGACAACACCCTCTTTAAACGAGTCAACCGGGGCCCCAACGTTCACTTCGGCAATGGCGAGATCACCCCCGTCCCAGCAGACCTGATCAGCAAGAGAAAAGGTTGGCCCGTACTTGAAACCGTTATCTTGCAGCCATGGATAGAAATCGGCATTGGGGATGCTGAATCTTGCGTTGCCCTTGGCTTCGTCGTATCTGCGGGCCAGCGACTCGGCGAGAATCTGGTTCTCCTGACCGCCATCAACTTCTGTGCGAGCATCCTGCGCAAACTCAACATGAACGACGCACTTGGCGCACGCTCTCCAGTAGTTCTCCGCAAATGAAAATATCTCAATCTCGAACCGAGTGGCGGACCTCTCGTATGTCTGCTGCAGAGAGCGGAGGTGTGTCATAACCTCTGTTGTCTGTCCCGGGGTGACGACGATGGGACTCGTGAATGTGGCCTCCCTCACATGGTAGCCTCGGATAGGTTGGCTCCCACCAACAGTCTGTCTCACTGCTTCGATTGACATCACAACTGACCCAACGGCCGGGAAAACGACAGCGTTGTCCACGACGTGATCTGCCACCCAGCCAACTTCCTCAACTCTGAGCATCTTCCTCCAACGCGGTTGCAGTGGGTTCCAGTCACTTGCCCGTAGACCCAAGAGGGTATTTGGGGAACCTTCACGAAGTCGCCAATCACGAGTGACTCTAGGTTCATGCCAGTATGTCAGCGTCTTGTCGAATGGGTACTGAGGAGTGTCTACTACGAGCTTGGCATCTGGAGAGGCGCCATCCTGTTGATTAGCCGCTGTGATCGAAACACGATATCCACTAGTGAACAGCTGGCCAACCAACTGCATGAGCGTTTTCGAGGGGGTTTCCTGTCTTGACAGTACTGATCCGTATTTGGCCGTGCTGTTGCCCGCGTGGGCCAGAGAGTCGCGTACGGGTCGCTGCAATGCTGCATGGGGTCCGATCTCGAGATAGTTGGTGATGGGCTTCAAGCCATCTAGCTTCGGCGCTGCGTGAACAATGTACTGCAGCGCATCGGCGAACCGTACGGGTGACACCAGGTTGTCGACCCAGTACTGGGGATCCAGCAGGGTGATTGGCGTAACCTTCTGAGATGTGACGCTCGACACCATGAAGGGGTTGCCGTCATGCTGCAACTCTCGTGCCTCGAGATGGCCCATGCTGGATCGGTACTCATCTGCGACTTGAAGCATAGCAGGCGAGTGGTAGGCAACACCCGTCTTGAGCTTTCTAGCAAAGACGCCATCCTTGTCGAGCTCTGCCTGCACCTGATCAATGGCAGCCTCATCGCCGGATAGCGTCACGTTGCCGGGGCTATTGATGCACGCAACGGAAACGCTTCCGGGCAGTGATTTCTTTGCTAAATAGGATTCGGCTTCGTGTTCGGTGAGATTCACGGACATCATCGCCCCTGGTTTCAGCGAAGATGCTGCAGCGACCTGCCTGGCAAGACGTCCTCTGTGGTAAGCGACTGTGCAGGCAGCTCGAAGGGATAAGGCTCCAACGGCATAAGCTGCTGCCACCTCTCCCGACGAATGCCCAACTACAACATCGGGGAAGATGTTCAGAGTTCCCAGCAGTTCGACCAGTGCTATCTGGAGCGCGGTGCACAGAGGCTGACTGAACTCTGCCTCATTAATTCGCTTTTGGTTTTTCAGTTCATCTGTCGTTTTTCTTGTTAATGAAAGTTGTTCTATCAACGATGAAGGTAAGGCAAAATGCAGTACTTACCAAATAATGACCACTCAGCTCCTACATCTTTGAAAACACCCTGTATCTCGGCAAGTGTAGCTTGGAAGACACGGTAGCGAAGCAACTCCAATCCCATGTTGGCGTATTGCGCTCCCTGGCCGGTGAAGATGAAGGCCACTCCAACATCACGCGCTGCGCGCTCGCACTTTGCAGCAGAGAGGTTCAACGTCTCTACGGCCCCCTGCCCATCAACAACTGAGAATGCCCTCCAGGCCATTAGACTCCGACGCGTAGCAAGCGTGTAGGACAGGTCCTGTAGGAAGCTAGTATCTTCGTGCACCTTGGTTTTCAGATAACCATCATACAGACCTAGCATCCGCTTCAGGGCGGCCTCGTCTCGTGCAGACCATGTCAGTAACTTGTATCCAGGCGTTGCGTCTGTTTTGCTGGTTGCGTGGCTCTCTCCATTGGTACCGTTGGTGCCGTTCACTCCATTGATTTCGTGCGCTCCGTTCACCCCGTTTGTTCCGCTCACGCCATTTATCCCATTAACTACCTTCTCAGGTGTGTTGGTGAGAAGCCTAGGGCCAGTGAGTGCGTGATGATTGGCTACGTGTCCAAGAGCCTCAATGATATGATAAGCGTCGTCGAGAATAATGTGACTATTGGCTCCACCAAATCCAAAAGAATCAATCGAGATTCGCCGCAGGCCTTGTGTCGGCCAAGGGACAGGAGAAGTAGGCACCTAAAGCTAATTAGCCTAGAATAAATCAAAACGAATCCCCAAGTTCAGAGGTTATACCTCGAGATGGTAGAATCTGGCATTAATCTTTCGGTTTAGTTTCTCAAACAAGGCGTTCGGAGGAATGATTCCATTCTCAAGTATCATGATACTTTTGAGAATACCGGCGAGGCCGCTGGCTCCTTCAAGATGGCCGATGTTTGCTTTGATAGAGCCACTACGGGGAGATCAAGTTAACAAGTGTGTGAGAATACTTATAAGCGGGACTTCCACAGTCTGGAAACAAACACGGTTGATGGATATGGTCCGACTAAAACCGAAGAAAAAACATGTAATGAGATTTTATTTTACTTACATGTATAGAGGCTCACTGGCGGACCTGCTGGCTCTGAAAACCCGACCAAGCGCGGTTGCTTCAGTCACATCTCCAATCTGCGTACCGGTGCCTGGACCTGTCAGACGGAACGATGTGGAATCTGGTCACGGAGAACATACCATGGGCTTCCACGTAACGCGTGTTCTCAAAATTCAAGTTGCAACTCTTGTACACTTGACGAATGAGCGCCTCCTGCGCAGACTGGCTTGGCTGAGCGAGGCCTGGGGTATGGCCGTCTTGGTTCGAGCCAGTTGCTCGAATCACAGCACGGATCATGTCCCTGTCCCTTATTGCATCTTTTATTCTCTTGAGAACAAGCACAGCAACGCCTTCTCCTCTTGCATAGCCATTGGCGCGCTGATCGAAGCTATAGCAGCGGCTATCCGCTGACAGGAAACTCATGTTTGACTGATAGAGAGACCATTCTGGACTCAACAGACTATTTGCAGATGTTACTAAGGCCTACAGAAGCGGTTAGTATTTGGACGGGTTACCAGACTTGCTTTGAGTCCGCATACCATTGAACTCTGCCCACTCCTCAGGCTTTGACATGCAAGGTCCATGGTGATCATACTGGATGAACAAGCCGTGTTGACATGGATACTGGGGCCTTTCAGATCGAAGTACCAACTGATACGGTTCGCCTGAATACTAGGGCTAGTGGAGGTTGATACGGTTGCTGGCGCATGATCGGGGTCTTTGGCAGTCATCATAATGTAGTCTTCAGATGTAGACGACGCATAGACTGCTGTGCTAGTTCCTGCTGCCTTCTCCACAGGAATACCCGCTACACAGTGTAAGCAGTTGGTTCAACATTGAAGCAGGTTGAAGGTTTGATGACCACATGCCATTTTCTAGAGCCCTGTACGACGTCTCGAGAAGCCATCGTTGCTGCGGGTCCATTGCAGCCGCCTCTACGTCTACATGTCAGCATTTTGATATATACCGAATATCAGAACTACCCTGCATACCCTGGGCTGTGATTGAGAAGAAGGGAGCATCGAAGGCGGCCGGATCCCCTTTCATAAAGTAGCCGCCCCTCGAATACAGCTGATTTCTTTGTCAGTGACAAATTGTCTCTACAGACAGCTTTTGATAGGACTTACCGTGTTCTTGATTCCCGAACCTGGTTTATAGAATGTTCCGATGTTTGCTCGACTCTCTGGCCACTCCTGCATTACATTTCTCTTATTCTCAAGCATATCCCAGAAGCTCAAGTCATCTTCAACGCCGTCGGGCAGCCTGAAGGCCAGGCCTACAATAGCAATGGGTTCCATTGGACGATCTGCTTTTGGTTGGCGTGGGGTGATGCTGAATAGAATCCAAAAGAGTGACTAGTAGACGAGAGTCGTAAATGGAAAGGATAGATAGCGGCAGGGCAGGTAAAAGCTACCCGCGATCCGATCATGCCATTCAGGGAAGACGTGCAATACTTGTTGGTCTAGGTAAGCCACATACGATCCTTCTCGATCTGGCATGGTCCTTGAGCAGAGGTCTTCTCGGCGCACCCTTCCTTCGGCCCCCAAGCGCCCCTGGACCACCGTCACAGGGGTTACCCATGTCAGATATCAACCCCTGTTGTGACGGAGAGCCCATGCCGCTACGCCGTAATACTGCATTCACTAGATATCGATATTACTACAGCGAGAAGAGGAATGTAATACGCCACCCTCAGCAGAAGACTCCAATGTTGAGAACTTATGCTGTGATCAGGTCGACCGTTTAGTCTTAGGCGGGGTGTAAAGTAATTAAGTACCTTGTAGTCATTATGTTGATGTGTCAGGTCTGCCTCTTCCATTGCTGTTTTTTAATTCCAACTCGAACTCTCATCAGGTCAAGTAAGTACCTTTATAAGTAAAATAAGTAGAGAGGATATACTTACAATATTAGTCTTTCCCTCTTTCATAAATCTAAACTATTATCGTTCAGAAATGGCATGTCTCATATCGGTGAGGTCGAGCCGCGCCACATGAATCTCATGGCCGTTCGTCCACATCTCCATCCACACCGAGTCTTTTGAAGGCCAATGCACATGTAGATCGGGCATGGACTTTAAGCATAATATTAGCAGAGCCTAGGGAGTGTGTTTATGTATGTAGTATGCATCGATGTAGGTATCCTTGCCCGCTTCCCACGCAACCACGCAGGTAGTGCTCTCTTCCCGATCACACCATGCCCAACCCGTTCAACTGCTGCGTTCTCATCCAATCGTAGACTTCCTTTGCGGCCTTGGTCACGGGTTCGGCTGCCATCCCCGCCTCTATTTCCATCATTTCTTGTACCCATACGTATATGGCGTCTACAAACCCTCTGACCTGCTCCTCCGTGTTGTAGGCGTGGATGATGACCCGCAGGCGACCCTGCCCCGGTGGTACCACCGGGTATGTGACGGGGAAGGTGCGGTAGGAAGCCGAGAGAAGGTGGCAGTACATCCACCAGAACGACTTCGGCCTGGTGGAGATGGCGAGCAGATGGGTGTGAACCATCCGGTCTTCCCAGCCGTCAGCGAGAGGGATCCGCAGTATACCCTTGGTCATGGCCGTCGGCCAGAGTCGATGGGAGGTCACAAGCTCGAAGAACAGCCTAGACATGTCCTGGATGTGTTGTCGATCCTGCAAATAATATCATCAGAAAACTTGAGTCTATTGTCGGTTCGTAGTGGACGATTCCCCTAAGGAAATGAAAAAAGGAGTATGCATACCTTATCCTTGGTGCCGAGCACCTTATATCCTGACCTGATGGCAGCGATGAAGGTGAAGGTGGGTGCTGTAGAGAACATGACTGCCCGTGAAAAGTTTATAACTGTATCTCGAATGCTCTTGTTTCCGAGAATGATTGCTAAGGGAAGTGTTAGTATACTGATATCCTTATGAGAATGTCACTGAGCACTCACCTCCAGCGGCTCCGATCGCCTTGCCAAAGGAATGCATAACCACCGCAATGTCCTCCTCCAACCCGAGCTCACAAACAAGGCCCTTGCCGTCGGGACCTATGAACCCAATGCTGTGCGCCTCGTCGACGACGAACTGGACACCGCCTTCATTATCCTGGAAGACCTCCCTGGCGGCCTCGACGAGTTCTTGCAAAGGGCAGAGATCACCGTCCATGCTGTAGATCGACTCGACTGCGACGAGAACGGTCCGCTTCCCCTGCCGCACTAGAGGCCGCGTAGCAAGGATGTCCCGCAGCGTGTCTCGGAAGGCATCGACATCGCTATGGGGGAACGCGACTCTGTCCGTCGCTAGCGCCTGTCTCATGCCGTCGTGAGTACTCGCATGGACCAGAGAATCGTACACAATGACATCTCCCTGCTTCGGGATTGTCCCCCAGATGGCCAAGTTGGCCTCAAAACCAGAGCCTACGATGAGGCCAGCCTCGTAGCCGTGGAAGGCGGCAATCTCTGACTCGGCTTCCACTATGTACGGATAGTTGCCGTCCATGAGTCTGGAGCTGGTGGTGCCCAGGGCGAACTCGGGATGCCTTTCGAGCTCGGCAAGGAACTCGGCACGATGCTCAGAGCTTCGTCCCATGCCCATGACATCCCCGGAGCAGAAGTCCACCGAGCCAGCGCTGGGGCCTGTGCCCGGCAGCGTCGAGTAGAAGCTCTCCGATGCGCGCTTGATGTCGAGGCCCTCCTCTAGATTGCGATAAAAGGTTGGCAGTGACTTGGTATACTCAGGCCGTATCCTATGGGCCTTAACCATGGTGGTCAGTGCCTCTGCCGAGGAGACAAAGGCGCTCCCGGCCTCTTGGGAGTCCGCCATGATGCAAGGGTCTGGCTTGATTCACTGTCACAAGGCCGAAGGTTGGAGATCAAGGTCGAAATCCGTACTGGTGGTCTTGTAAGGGAGCGGGGAGAAGCTTGCTGTAGCCTCACTGATTCCTAGCTCTATTCCCCTATGCCAGATGCAGCTTACTGGATGCGAGCTGATAAATCTGATATGGGTTGATCGCCCCGGGACGCTTTAGAAACAAATCCCCTGTCTACATTTGATGGCCCAGAGAGAGACTACGTAATACGTCGTAGGTACGGACCCCACCTTCGAATGCATGTAAGAAGAGCTTCTGTGCGTTGCTCGTTCCGCCTGTACTACTAATTCTACTGGTATAGAAATCAGATGATAACCATAGCTATACACCATAGCGGAGCTATTTTGGGTTAGATTCGGTCCAACATCCTGTACATGCGCGCGCATAATCGACGGGGTGATCTGTCATGGACATCGTCTGACAATCAAAGGCCATGGTTCTATGCAGGAATCATGGTTGCGGACTGAAAGGAATAATGAATGCAACCGAATGGGGATTGTGTTCCGAGCACGAGAATACCAGACCCATGGGGTGGATCTAATGTTGCAGAAATGCCGATTGAACCACGAGAAGGGCAATGGCTCACAAGTATTTGGCCTCAACAGTATCAGGTACTTGTGCAGCTGAGACAGGAACAGTCCGAGGGGTGGGCCAGATGTCACCAGGAACACATAGTGCTGCATTATCGCCCCATGGCAAGGTGTGCCGCAGATAGATTAAACCACGGGCCCTGGTACCTGCCCATTGAAGATATTGGGCGAGTGGTACCTGGTAGCTAATTTGTCTTTGTTAAGAAGTATGAGCCGAGGTCGTTCACATATGACCAAAAAGGCGAAAAGATGGCATGTAATTGCATCTCGCTCCAGTTAATTACTGTCCCGTGGTTTCCTCGACCACCCGCAGACCACCATGGTTCGTGTAAAAAGGTTGTGTGGAGTGCAGATTCGATCCGTCGCGCGCATGGAATCCTTATTCCTTTGATAATACCGCCGTTGTATGCCCTGCCGGCAGAGCTGAGTACTGGATGCAGTAATGGTCGGGCCGTGGCATCCTGTTTTTTATTATCGCCGACCAAAGACCCAACTGGGATAACAGGGGGCGTGGCGTTGTCTGCATGAGTTATTGGTCAAGCTGATTGATGGTTACACAGTAATATCTAACTCTGCATCACATTGGTTGCCTCGGCAGTTCCTTCGCTCGGGCAACCTACGCAAGTTGGTAAGATCCATTTGCCCATTTGCCGATCCTTGCTTATTGACATCATCAGTAGCACTCTTCTTTTTGGCCAGCCGTGGACATGCACTGTTGACTGCGGGAGGCTGGTTGAGAATGGCCAAATGTCAGTCAGCCCTAGACGAGTCGCAAATCGCAAAATGCACGGGCACTTAAACCCATGTTACCGCCGGTGATAAGGCTCCGCGGGGGAGCAACATCTTGGCGTCTTGGTACTGTGGGTGAGATGAAACTTGATTTTACTATGGAGCACTCTAAGGCAAGGAAGAACCTTGCGTCCCTGGCAAAGTCAGCAGTCATCAGTGCCCCATAACGCATTGCCAACCAAAAGAGGACTTGACCGCTATCAAGCTACACTTACCGCCTGTACTAAGAGCATGTGGACAGCCATCTGTATAGTGGGATGGACACCTCTGCCAGTCTCCACGATGCTAATTGCAACGTTGACCTTGATGAGGCTATAGCAAATCATAATAGCTGCTGCAAACATGGGCTCCTCGTTGTGAGAGTACATTGTAGGGTGACTTCTAGGGTTCCGTAAGGTCAAGCTCCCCCTGGCGCCCGCAGCCGCTTCTACATAACGCCCTGCTCTCTACTACCTTGGGTGCTTATATAGGTCACAGGCATCACAATCAGCTGAGTATAGCCTTTATTTAGCCTACAATTTCCATAGCATATGAAGCCAAAATAAGGAAAACAATCACAATATCTAGTAATGAATTAAACAGCTCTCTCTTCAATTTCTAACTTGTAGTTGACCTAGTATATCATTTCCTAGCTTCTATAACAACTGCTTTATATTACTAATGCCTGAGACCGTTTCCGCACGCCCTAATCTCACCGGGGGTGTATGTACATCATGCAACAATCTGCCATCAAGGACCACGTACATCATACATGGTTGACGGTTGGTTGGCGCAGGCAAGTTCGTATAGGCAACTGGCAGCGCTTACCGGCCCTACTTAACAAGTAGATACCACCGGTTCTTTCAATTCGCCGACACCTACTTGCCCAGCGCTTACTACGCATTCTGCCAGGTCTACACAATGTCAGAAGTGAAGGACCAGGGAAAGCAAGCCGCCGAACCCGGTGGCGACAAAGCAAAGATCGAGACAACGCGTCTCAAGAAGAGGATCCAGAAGCACTACAACGTGACTTCAGACCTGTTTCTCAAAGTATGGTAGGGAGCTCCCCAACCTGCTTATCCCAACCAATATCCAATTTGCGAGTTGACGCTGCCAACCAGGGGAGAACACATCCACCAGGGCTACTACAAGTCGCCAACAGACACCGATGCGCAGGCGCAGATCAACCAAGTCCTACGTCTGGTCGAGTCGTCGGGAGTGACCGCCGGCTCCAGAATCCTGGACGTCGGGTGCGGCATTGGCGGCACCGCCAGGTATCTCGCCCGTGAGCTGGGCTGCAAGGTGACGGGCATCACCAACAGCGAGCGCCAGGTGGAGATCGCACGGCGGCTGATGGCAGATGAGGTGGCCAAGCTGGGGTCCCCGTCATCGTCGCCGCCGAGCACGGACTTTGTGCAGTACCCCTCCCCAGCCAGCGCCGAGGGGGGCGAGGCTGGTGCCGTGCGGATCCTCCATCTTGACTTTGAACAAATGCGCCAGTATCTGGGGGCCGAGCGCGGGGAGAAGTTTGACTGTGTCTGGGTGTCCGAGGTCGTCTTCCACCTGCACGGGAGGAAGCTCTTCTTCGACTCGGCCTCGGCGCTGCTCGAGCCCGGCGGCTGCATCGTCGTTGCCGACATGTTCAGGACGGCGGAGAAGCCGTCGGCGAGTGCGCAGAAGGAGCTTGATTCCATATCGCGCAACCACATGTGCCCCCAGCTCGGCTCGGTAGACGAGTACACACAAATGGCCAGGGATGCGGGCCTCTCGCCGCGCCATGAGCCGATCAACATTACCAAGAGCGTGGCGAAAACGTGGTAGGTTACCCTGTTCAAGCGATCTGAGCTTTGCGCATCCCACTGATTTGACATCGGCTCTAATCATGCAACTCTCCATTTAGGGATACTACCTTGCCATTAGGGTCATTATTATATGCCATATCTCAGGGGAGGGATTCTATTGGGTATTTGCGGGGAATGCGGTCCATGAAGCGGGCATACAGCCATGAGACGGCTAGTTATACTATTCTATGCTATGAGAAGAAGCCTTGAGAATCTGCTAGGTTGACACATAGTCTGCCTTTTTGTTATGGCTCTTAGTAGAGTTAGTTTTCTAAACTTCAATTTGCGCATTGCAAGGGCAGAGTAATATACGGTTTATAGATTGTTCTACTCGTGTGCTCTTGTCCATTTTGTGAAGCAGACTGATGAAGAGACTTCATGAAACAGTCATCTAGGTACTGAACATACTAGCGCTTGCTTGAATGAAGGAGCTCGAATTCAGTCGATTGTTTAGTAACATAACGCTTAAATCGAGTCGGTTATTCGCTAAACTAAAGCATTAGCTACTCCCCGCGATGGCTTTTTCGAATATCTCACTTGCTTACAGCTACGTATGGTGATCAACTCAAGCATTACTAACTTAGGTATCGAAAAAAGTTAGATTCTACCTTGGATAGTAATTTTCTACGCCTCTAATTTCTGATGCAGCTAGAGTTGTTCGAGGATATTGCGTGACTACGACGCCAGAGCGGTCTACAGGGAAAGGCAAGGATGGAGCATGCGGCCTTCTCATATTTGTAGAATGAGCCATTGATAAGGCTTGGCACTACTCGAATACCATCTTGGCCTCTTGAATATGGCTCATACGCTTAGGGATAGTAATATAGTTGAATTTCTGATTTCTGAAATAGTCAACATTGATATACTCAGGGTCGACTTAGCTGATATAGGATCAGCTGTCTTTGTTTGTGTTCAAATAAACAGTTTCGAAGTTAACAGGTAAGATTGCTATGCTAATCAAGGATTCGTCTATGGTAGGTATCATATTTCTTATCATCGAGCTAAGCCCCCATGTCCATCGTAATTGACTCGTATTTCAGTATGCCCTTGTGGCGCATATCCCATCTGCTTATGCATTGGCGGTGCATATCCCGTCTGGTTATATAATGGTGGTGCATATCCTGTCTTATCCGTATCACGAACCAGCAGCTCATGAACATCAGAGCTGCCACCGAACTGCGGGCTGTAAATTTCGGTTGATTGATCCTTGGACTTCGACCCACTCCGAGAGCCACGGACTTGGGGGTAGCGACGACCACCGGATCCGCCAGACCACGGTGTTTGATTCGACGGCACGGAAGATGCCTTGGAAAGGGGCCCTCTCTTCACCATCCGTAGGAACACAGGCCAGCAAACCGGGAGACACGCACAGATGATGCCTGTGCAGATGTGGACTGTCGACCACAGCGAGGTTTGTGTAAGATCGAGCTGCCGGCTTCCAGGGATATAACTGCGTGCGACCTTGACTATGCCGGATATAATAACACTGGTTGTTTGTTAGCTTTTCTAGCTTTAAATATGCTAACGTTCATTACCGACGTAGCAGTAGACCGACTTACAAAACACCAAGAAGGAACACGCCGGCAACAGCGATCCTCCTCCCCTGGCTAAGTTTTAAGCCATACACCACTCTTACTGGCATTATTAGGATCACCAGATCAAGTATACACTCGACTATTCCGCATGCCAGCCAGTATACATTGTAGTTGAAGCAGTACTTCGACTCGTCATCGGACGGGACCCAGGACATCTCGATCGGGATGCAGTTCAGTAGATTGCTCACGGTCATACTGATCCAGAACCCGGCCGTAATGACAATCAGGGCAATAATCTGGAGGCGAAAGGATCGATCTATGGAGAAGATGCGCTTGTACATGAGAAGGATAGACAGCTTCGTCGTGGACACCGTCGTGAAGTACAGAATGGCGGAGAAGAAGCTCAGTCTGGTGTAGTCGATATCATCTTGGCCGTACGTATATTGTGCATCGTCCTTGCCCTTGTGTAGGGCATTCTTCGCGCTCTCGGGGTAGGTAACGTTGGCTGAACTTTCTGTTAATCAATGAAGTCTTCCGAAATTTATAGATGTAGGCGACTGACCAACAACAACGATTACATCGGCTATTACCAGTGTGACGACTGATAGAAGAAGAAACCAATCATCCAAACCTACACCGCTCTTCATCATATGCCTACCATAGAAGCGAATGGCGGCAATGATAATGGATAACACGGCACCAATGGCCCCGATCACGACGATTAGATCGTCATCATTCATTTTGGGGGGTGTGGGGGAGGCAGAGAAGAGAACGCGGTGGCAGTTCTGTCAAGGCGACAGATGACATGGGCTCGGCAGTCAAGCTTGTTTATACTCTGCAGGGGAGAGCCAAGCACGGGAGAGGCCAATATACACCGCAGAATCCTTCTCTGGATGGAACACAAAAAGCTTTTGTGAAATGACGAACTAGTTGGTGATGACATGCACACAAGGGTCTCTGATATCTACCGCATGTCTCGGGCATGATGTGATGACTGCATAAAGGAATCCTGCCATGTAATGGTAGTAAGCTAATGTCTTATAATGGGACCCCAACCACCAAGTATTCAGTACATTCGCGCGCTAGTGTTGCCCCTGTAGTTCACGGCAACTGGCTAACAGCTGTCTCGGGTGTTGGGGTGGGTGAGTGATGGCAGGGGCTCGGCAGCCAAGCTTGTTTATGGATACTCTATAGACACATCGGAGAGACCTCTATTCAGTACAGAACCCTCTTACGGGAAACTGCCGAGCCAGTTGATGGTGCCATGCACGCAACGGTCTCCAATATCGTATCGGAACAGCAGGTTTTGGACATAATGTGATGGCTGCATAAAGGAATCCTGCTCCCACATGGACCGATGGTAAGCCAACGTCACATAATACAACCCCATTGCGGTGGCCCGCAGTTCATGGCAGCAGGTCGCAAGAAGTTGCTGTTCGGGGATTTCCCAAACGAGTTGACTCCATTTATCCACGCCCTCCACTCTGCTATATGTAGTCATTCGTGGGCCCCAGACAAGATCCTTTGTGGTCTGACCTAAGCGATCGGCCCTAAGACACTTAATGGAATGGAATATTTTAACCACACCCCCCTGTCCTCCCCTCCTCTCTTTCCCCGCCGCCCTAGATCCAACTCCCCTTGTCAAGAGATTTCAAGAAAGGATTTTGCCATCGAACCATCTATTAATCGTGTTGAGATGTTTGGCCTGGCATCTTTAATTGCTGTTTTTCCTTCGTCCTCCACCTCTCATCCGTTCCCCCAACCACCCTGTTGCTAGTCAGCCACTTCTGCGCGCACTAATGGTCACTTTTGAAAAAGCCTACATAGCGGTAAAGGAGTAATTAAATTATATGAAGAATAGTACTTATAGACAAAGGCATCTCATTAATATAGCGCCCTGCGGCCCCCTGGAAGCATGGCCTTAGCGCCTAGAGGGGTTGACTTGCTGGTTCGATAGCATAATCCTCAAGCAAATACTATGCAGGTCAGATTTGCAAAACGCAGGCTTTGCCACTTCGAATAATTTGATTATTGCCAACCAGGGAACGGAAATATGCGATATAGCATGGGGCCGTAGATGTAGGGGGCCGTGGTGCACGTGGCAGACGTCCAGATCGCTTAACCGGTTGTCGGCATTCCTACCCTCCATATAAGTTCTAGAATAACCTGCACGACATATTTCTCTCTCAGTTCCACACTGATCATCTTTCAACCCTTTATACAGTCACTTGTGTTGAGGTGGTCCCTTTAAGATGCTGTTCTCTACCAAAGCTGTCGCGGCACTAAGCCTTCTGGCTGCCACCGTCTCTTCCTCCCCTGCTGTCTCCCCACGGGCAGTGGCTGCACCGGTGTACGATGAAGAAGTTGCCCCAGCTCTGGCCGAGTATCCGCTGCCAGCCATTTTGACTCTTGATATGATTCCAGCTATCAGACAACAAGAGACTGCCGAGTACAACGCCGAAACAGTGCTAGGCGGCCAGCCGTTCACTCACGTTGAGCATGCCGTTCCCAGTTACCAGGGATACAACATGACGGTTTCCGTCATAACTCCCGACAATATTCCGGCAGGTTCTTCGCGCCCATGGGTCTACTATATCCATGGGGGTGGTCTCATTCTCGGCAACCGCTTCTACCTGATTGCCGCTGGCTTTGAGCTCGCGCATAGTCTCGGCTTGGTTATTGTCACGGCCGAGTACCGTCTTGCTCCAGAGCATCCTGCCCCGGCTGCTATCGAGGATGTTTACGCTGGGCTTGTCTGGGCTGCGAACAATGCGCAGTCTTTGGGCCTAGATCCTAGCAAGGCATTGGTTTGGGGATCAAGTTCTGGCGGCGGTCTGGCTGCCGCTCTCGGACTGATGGTGCGTGATCGCAAGCCAACCGACAAGCTTACACTCAAGGGGCTCATGCTGCATTACCCCATGCTTGACAACAGTATTTCGGCGTCGGAGCAGGCCATTTTCAGTGGCAATGCTGCACCAGCCTGGTCCTCTGAAACAGATCAAATGGCATGGAAGGCCTACCTCGGCGACAAGCCCGGCGACAAGGCCAAGAACCCATACTATGTGCCCGCACGAGCCAAGAACCTCGCCAACCTTCCTCCCGTCTTCATCGACACCGGAAGTGCTGAGCTGTTCAGATCACCCGTTGCCAAATTTACTCAGGGCTTGTGGGAGGCTGGTAACTTGGTCGAGTCCCATGTCAGTGCTGGGGCGTTCCACGGCTCCGACGTTATGGTGCCAACTGCTCGCGTGTCTCAAAGGGCCTGGAGTGCCCGCTATCTTTGGATTACCGACAAGCTTACTGCCTAAGCCTCTTTGCAACATGAAGTGACTAGGACTTGGAATCATGGATAAAATAGTAGGATCGGTCCAATAATTATTTGTATAAGCACTGCATTCACAGCATCCTACCTACATGTATATAGATACTTCAAGCGGAGTCCCTGAAGGATATATCCTAAATATAATGTAATAATCCTACCTACTCTACAGATCAGTGACAAAAGTCTGCGACCAGGCCACGGTGCCCAGCCCGCCTCAATAAGCTACAATTCCTCCTTTTTAAACAGTAATGTCTAAACTAAAAGAAATTTATAAAACTTAAGTTTTAATCATCTTATTATTTATTAACTAGATTTAATATAGATTTCTTTTCTAGGGGGTTTGTAACGAGCCTTGAGGCTTTTAATTGTAAGAATTGGCTACAACAGCTTCAAGAAACATCGCCTCATCGGTAAGCGACGATATCGAGCGCTAGGCTTCTAACAGCAACACATATAAACGGGCTGATCAAAATTTGCGGACAAAGGACCCCATCTGATCGACGGCATCTTGTGCACTTTTCTCGAAGCCGATCAAAGTGCCGGCTAAGAATGTGTCGTGTACGCCCGAGTCCTCTAGATGCAACTCGATATGATTACCAGCAACAACCTGCATCTCATCGACCCATTTCCGAACATCATCGAGAAATATCTCAGACGTACCGGTGTTGACAAAAAATGGCACCGGCGTGGCGAACGCATGGCCAGCAGGTACAATATATGGGTTTGAAGATACATCTGATAAGCCGGCAGTGTATGTCACAACTCCCCATTCCAAGAATGAGGAAGGGACATAATCAGTATTATCTCGGGGGTTGCTGCTCATATCATAATCTAATGGTGAGACCCAGGGTGAGAACAGAGCGGCACATTTAGGAGTTGGAATATCCAGATCGCTAAATTCTTGGATATACCGTAGCAGGGAGATGATAAGGTTGCCACCAGCACTATCGCCACATAGCACAACCTGCTGAGCGGGAACTCCAAGTGTATTGATAAGATGAAGGTATGCTGTCAAGCAGTCTTGAAATGCAGCAGGAAAAGGGTACTGGCCAGCATAGCCAGATAGACGATACTGCAGCGAGACCACAGCATCGATACCAGTATCCCCGTTTCCTACCAAGGCCTTGCATGCGTGGCTGCATTCCTTATTTCTGCCATTGTGCATGACAAACCCGCCCCCATGGATATAAAGTGCAACTGTCTTTGAGTTGATGTCTTTGCCTGGGGCTTGCGGGAACCAAGTACCACCCACTGCCTCAGGGCTGACATTGGACGACGATAAGGGTCCCTTGTAGAAATCTAATGAATGTGGCTGGATAACCTGAAAGCGGTCGCCTTCGCTACCCGGCTCGAGTGAGATCTTTTCCGTGATGCCGATGCGAGCTTCCAAGTCTATGATAGCCTTGGCGATAGGGCGGGAAAGGGCTTGTTTCACCGACCATTTTGGGTTTTGACGTGCAAGCAGGGCAACAATAAGCCAAAACGGAAGGCGTACTACGATGGTGACGGCGTAGAGAAGATGGAACAAAGCATTGAGTGGTTGGCGAGAGACTGTCGGATGTTCTTGTGGGCCAGCCATGATGAACGGTCTTATGTCCAAAAACAGATAAACGAAGGGAAAGAAGAGAGTCGCGTGGGAAAAGCCACGCGGGAAGAGAAGCGCTGGCGGGTGCAACCCTTTTGCAGTCAATGCCGCGAGTTCGCAACGACCAACAGTATAACAGAGTGGAGGGGGGTCTCATTAACAATTTCTTGGCCTGTGCCTCGCTTGAAGCGGAGGGGGGGGCAAATTACCTATCAGGTCACCGGGCCGTCAGCCTGCAGGTGCTGCGACGGTCGAGTTCTACGGTGAAAAGGGGTCGGGGCATAACTCCCGGTCGGGGAGGGTCGGGCATTGCTACGACGGTGTCGCATCAGCCCCGTGTATGCTCGACAGATGCTTCCTGTAGGCCGATCTAGCCATCACGAGTAGGCTGTTGATCACCTACGCTATCGGGCAGCCTATTCATGTGTGCACGATTTGGCTGTCCCAACCGGCTGTTCATGGGCTGTTGAATTGGACGCTTCTTTGTATATGTGCGATTAGTTGCAACTGAGTTGTTAATCAGCTCTTGAACTAGACACGAAATTCGTATGTCTGCAATCTATTTGTCGTAACTAGACTATTGATTAACTGTTAAATTAGCCAGTCATCTTAGCGAGGGCCGTCCAATGGCCGCTATATAATACGTAAAGTTATCCGACTCTCTGCGGAAGCCGGCTCTAGCCCACTGCGAGCCATTCTATCCTTATTGTCCTCCAATCTTTATAGTAATGATGAGGGGCACCGTACTCACTTTCGCGGCCACGCTGATCGGCTCCGTTGGAGCTGCCTGCACTGGCTCCTCCAGTTCGAGTGCTGCGGTTACATCAGGCTCCAGTACCGTTGCTACACCAAGCTCCAGCACCGTGGTCACTCCCACCGTCACCCTCTCTGCCGGTACGGTGACAGGCGCAGTGGATGGTGGCGTCGAGTACTACCGTGGCATTCCCTATGCCAAACCCCCGACTGGATCTCTGCGACTGAAGCCTCCGGTGCGCCTCGAGAGCTTCGGCTCGATTCAGGCCACTGGTGTTGGTCCTGCGTGCCCTCAGATGACTGGCTATGAGATCACACCACTCCTACTGGAGGTGCTGTTACTGCCCGACGCCCAGGAGACTCTGTTCTTTGGTACATCGCTAGGTGACGAGACCGAGGACTGCCTGACCATCTCAGTCATGCGACCGGAGGGCACAGCAGCCGATGAGAAGCTGCCTGTCCTGTTCTGGGTCTACGGTGGAGGTTTCGAGATGGGCAGCTCGCAGGCCTATGACGGAGCGGTGCTAATCCCCCAGTCTGTGGCCCAGGGCAAGCCGATGATCCTTGTGACCGTCAACTACCGGGTTGGAGCCTTTGGGTTCCTGGGAGGAAGCGAGGTTCTGGCAGATGGAGCCTCCAACCTGGGTCTCCTCGACCAGCGCATGGGCTTGGAGTGGGTGGCAGACAACATTGCTGCCTTTGGCGGTAACCCTGATGCCGTAACCATCTGGGGCGAGAGCGCCGGTGCCATGAGTGTCTTTGACCAGCTTGCACTTTATAATGGCGACAACACCTACAACGACCGACCCTTGTTCCGGACTGCCATCATGAACAGCGGCAGCCTGACTCCCACCCAGCCCATTGACGGAACGAAGGCCCAGGATATTTTCAACTCGGTGGCCGAAGCTGCTGGATGTGGTAGCGACTCATCCAAGCTCGAGTGTCTCCGTGGGGTTGACTACGAGACGTTCCTGAATGCATCGAACAGTGTTCCCACATACTTGACCTATAGTTCCCTGGCGTTCAACTTCGCTCCCCGACCAGATGGAAAGGTTCTTACTGCCAGCCCGGAAGTTCTCGCCCAGAGTGGGAAGTACGCCAAAGTCCCATTGATCATCGGCAACCAGGAAAACGAGGTAAGGAAGCCTTCATGTTCATGGCGTTGAGTAATCCATCAGGACAGGCCTGCTAACACAAAGTGCAGGGAACCGTATTTTCTCTCTTCCAGGACCTCGAAACCGAAGAATCCTTGGTCGCTTACCTCAAGGAGGTCTTCTTCCAGAGCGCCAGAACCGAGGAGGTCGCAGCTCTGGTCGCCACCTACCCCAGCAACCCCGACAGCCCCGGCGGCATCGGTACCACCATCACTGCCTATCCAGAGTTCAAGCGCCTCGCCGCTATCCTGGGCGACTATGAATTCACCTTCATGTCCCGCCTTCTCCTCGAGACACTCCCCGACACTGTCCCCGCGTGGTCGTACCAGTCCACATATGCAAGCGGTACCCCGATCCTGGGAACCTACCACAGCACCGACATGCCTCGTCTGTTCTACAAGACTGATAACGTTAGCACGGCTCTCAAGGCCCTGTACATCTCCTTTGTGGGCTCTCTGGACCCTAACGAGTACGAAGATGCGACAGGGTACTTGACCTCCTGGCCACAATGGAAGGAGAGCAAGCAATTGTTGGAGTTGGGAGCTGAATCTACTCGGCTCATTACTGATGATGCTAGGGCTGGTAGCTACGAGTATATCCGCAGCCACCTGGAGGCTTTGCGTGTGTAGTATTACAAATTTGACTCATTGATAATAAACATCTATGCTCTGCATGATACACAGTCAACTATCTGCCGAAAACGTGAATGTAAGGTGCCTCCGTCTCTTCAAGATCTCGTCTCTTTGAATGATTACATGCTGCTATCCGCTCTAGAGCTATTAGGCGTCAGTTAATAAGGCAGTATAAGGAGATCGGAGCGCTATAAAATATCAAGCGTCAAATATTAGATTATCTCAATAACCAGTCCATAACTTAATTATATATAATATAGTTATAATTAGAGTTATCAAGACTTATATATATAAGTCCTTTTATTTCAGCTCAACTTAGTTATATCGTGATAGGAAAGACTCTTATTTATAAGCATATTAGTTATCTCTCCTTATAGAAATCACCAGTCCGATATATGGCTCAGTAACTGTAAGCCTATATCTATTAAGAATAGGGCGTTATACAATATAGTATTAGCACCAAGGCGTTTATACACATACCACACATTACATAGGTAACTCATCGCTTATCAACAGCCCACAGAACGATATAGAAACATTTAATAAATTACAAAGCGCGATAACAGAAAGACTATTCCTAGTCTCCCATAGCAGGATAAAACACCTAAAGAAAGCTACTTTAGTAGTAAGTAAGATAGGATTACTATTTTCAAACTTATATTATATATCCGGGGCTTCATAGGCAGCATCATTACTCACTACATCCAATAGCATTTCAAACTTCAAAGTCTGCAATCAGTCCCACGTTATATATAAAGAAAATGTGAACTGGGGATATTGATATTAAAGATTCGTACTGCCAAGAAAATAGTTAGCATAACCACCTTAGACATCAAGAATATAACCTACTTCGTCATGCCAAAATTGATCCGAACCCGACAGTATGGCGCAC